CCTTTTGCGGAACTTGTCCGATTGGATGTCTTGCTCCTTGGTACTTCTCTTCTTCCCCTTATCTCCGTTTTCTCATGAGATTTTTCCACGTCCGGATTTATTTATGTCAAGTGCCCTTGGACTTTAATTTTGGAACCGGCAACATTGCTCTTCGCAATAGCTCGGTCAATTATAGAGTCTAAGTCTAAGTCTAAGAGTTAGTGCAGCCAATGGCAGCCTATACGACCAATGGCTGGTGACGCGCCTACTTCTACCTATACCTGTACCTGACATGATATTCTGCTATCTAAAAGTAGTTTTAAAAGTTTGGAATTTTCTAGAAGTAAAAATTATCAGTTGTTAAAATTCAAAGAACAGATTCCGGATTTCTAAGGAGCTATTTAATATTATGGGGCCTGTGGTTGCTGTAATTGTTTAAATATTGATCCGATATTGTACATATATATATATATATATATTTTAATATTATTTTGTTGGCATGTTTTTGAAAACTTTTGTTTTATTTTTATATTTTACTCAGGACTAGTCAAATTAGTCTTGATTTATATCATTCTGTGCAAAGCTGAATTATGATTATGATAAATGAGTAAGAAAAATTGGACTGAAAGTAAAACAATAAAAAGTAAAGAAGTTATATTTTGAATAATTTTGTTACTGTAATTGCATATGAGACAGATTTCTAATTAATCTAATAACTTGCTGTTTCTGGAACTACAATAGATTTGCAACAATGCATGTAGCACTCTACCATAAATCATCTTATTTTTCTACAGAATTTGATCTAAGCAGTTATGAAATAAAAAAAATTGATGCAGTTTTTGTTGAATCTGTTGTGTGGCCCTTATGCTTTTACTATTCACCGCACCCCTGTATAAATAAATTTATATTAGCCTCTCGTTAACATATAAATATTTTACACTTAAAATCCTGGGCGGTTGATAATTTTTGTTCACCAGTGTATTTAAATATTAAAAATTTCTATCAAGAAACATATTTGGAACTTGGAATAAGTTTCGACAGCGTCTGGCATGAGGGGCTTATTTCTAAACTCATCTCCTCTCATTTTGACAGAAAACTGCTTCTTACGATTCACTCGTTCATCACTAACAGAACATTCAGCGTTTGTGTTAACGGTGCAAACTCCTCCGAAAGATTCTTTGTTAAGCGGTATTCCACAAGGCTCGGTCCTAAGACCAATTTTGTATCTATTTTATGCTGCGGATTTCCCGCAAATTCAGCAAAATAATTCTATTTTAGCCTGTTATGCGGATGACAATGCCTTAGCGGTGAAATCCGCAAATGTGAATCATGCTGTCGGTAAACTTCAAAACTTCATTCCCCATTTTAAAAAGTGGTGTGCACAGTGGAAAGTTCAAATCAACACGTCCGAGTTACAACTTCTGATTATTCGGAAACAAAAAAGAAAAGTTCCACTCAAAAATGGACTTAGGTACGTTTTTCAATGAAGTTCCTGTCGTCTCTCAAGCAAAATACCTTGGAATATTGCTTAACGATTGCCTCACATGGACTCACCACGTTAATAACGTGCGGGACAGGGCCCTAAATATCATTAAATGTCTTTATCCTATCATTGAAAACTACTGTTCACTAGATTTGGATAAGAAGAAACTCATTTATCTTTCTGTTATTAGGCCAGTAATGATCTACACTTCACCGGTCTGGACGACAATTACTGACCAGGAGCTTAATAAATTACAAGTGGTGCAGAACAGATACCTGCGTATCCTCATGGATGCCTACTATTTTTTAAGGAATAAGTGTCTTCATGATGACCTCAAAGTAGAACCCCTAGTGAAGTTCTGAAAAATTAATAAGCTATTCTATCAGCGCGCACAAGATTGCAACATTATGAATCACTTCAATCTCTTCAGCTCTGAAATTCTGCAAAAAGATCGGTACTTGCGCTCTTTCACAGCTTTTATATGCATCGCAAACCAAAATTTCCCTACATAGGATTTAAAATTGTCATTACAACTCCATATTATACGGGCATTCTAAGTCTTTTTTCTAATTTTTGTAGGACTTTCTGCTATTTTAGCATGGCATTATACTTGTAAATATTATGTAAATAGTGGTCTATTTTTAGGGGAAGATATGTATTTTATGTTTTATGTATCATCTAATTCTGTAAAATGTGTTTTTCACATCCCTCACGTGACAAAGGTGTCACCAACTTTCATCCTGTTCTCTGGACCCAGTCAAGCATTTTTCTACTTGCATCGCTCCTTGAAGCACCTATGTTACGATAGCCAGTATACAGCTTGCATACTTAGCAAGCTAGAAGCGGCGACATTGGCAACTGGAAATGGAACTTGGCATAAGATTTAATGTGAAGTTTAACACATATTGAGGGAAGGTCATTAATTAATGAACTTGTGTATATGGTGAAATAATTTTATTGAAATTGTTTTTATTTGTCTAATATTTTAAAACGTTAATATTTTGTGAAATTAACAATTCGGCAAAATTAGTATTAAAATTATGAGAAAGTTAAGTAACAAAAGATAGTTTTATTTTTGTTTACTTACGACAAGGTATCGTCTGCATTTTACCAGCAGTATATTCACTGCAGGAATATGCTGTATATCTCTGCAGAGAATATACAAAGACTGTCTGCATAGTCTCTGTTAAAATTTGAATTTTTTCCTTCCTTTTCTACTTTTAAGTAAGTTAATTAGTTGCTGCTTTTATAAAAAAAGAGATCGTTCTCACATTTTTCGAGTGAGCAAATAATTAAAATTAATAAACCATGAAAATCAACTGGGAACACATTTTATACTCCTGACAGATATAGTACTGTACTATCCATGAATTTTCTCTTATTAATAGTTTTTTTTTTATTTTTAAAATTTTGTTTCCCTTCAATTTACTTTATTGTGAGAATGGGCATTCCAACAGCATGGAATTCAGACATTCCTCTCTGTTGTTGGAACAGACATTCCGACAGCATGGAATTCAAACATTCCACGCTGTTGTTGGAACAGACATTCCATGCTATTGGAATTCCAACAGCATAGAATGTCTCTCGGAAAGCTCGTGAACTTTGTAAATAATAAGTTTCTTGCATTGAACTAGAAGATAATTAGTTTTGCTTTCTTGGAAATCGTCTCCTCCTAAGTGTATACACTGATACTTCATTATTTAATTGCAAATACTCTGATCAAATTCCTAATAGATTCTTAACAAAATTTCTAACATTCCCTTTTTTTTTTTTTTTTTTTTTTTTGTGAGAAGGGATGCTCTGCAACTCTGCTACCAAATTTTAAGTAACGTAGACGGATTTAAAATGGCGAAGTTGCAGAATGAATTTTAATTCGGGAATAAAGAGAAGTATGATAGAGTTCATCCGGTGAATATGCATGTTCGAGAACACTTACTCTTGAGTTCTTAGCTTATAACTCTTTCCAAAGCAGTGATATGAGGGCGGGCGTACTGTCATGATGGAATATCCAGCACTGTTTTCTCTCTGATTCTTCCTCTCTGCTTCTCGAATGCGTTACAATTCCCTTTCTTCTGGAAGAAATTCAGGCTAATCTTTGGAATATGATAACAGGTAGTTTGGCGACATTTTGGTAAGGCGATAAAGGTTACTAGGTAGGATTTTAGCAATAATCTGAGAAGTACACAGTTCGAATCACAGATTTTTGTTCAGAGAATGAAAGTATGGACATGTCATGTGACATTTCGGAGAATTCCGATCGTGATTTTAGATAATCAGCACTTATAAACAATTCGCTACTAAGTCAGAATCGCCCACTATTTGTTTGGCGCTTTTCCAAGAGAAGCAGAAGGATTTTCGCCAATTCTTTGACCTTTAAGTGAAAATAGGTCGTGTGTAAGGGTAAAGCCAAGAGTGGGCGCATGCCTTTTTATGCAATTCTGGGATGTTTGAAATGAAAATAGGTCGCGTGCCATGGATACCGCGTATGTGCATTCTTAAAAACGCGCGAAGTAGTGGGCGATTCTGCACTTTCTCACAATTCGCCTGATCTTCGTCATGATTAAGCACTTTTGTTCCATAAAGTTTAGCAAGCGTAAATTCGGTCGCAGATTGTTGAAAAAATTTTAAGTCAAAAAAAAAATAAATAATAAAGAATTATTAATAAAGTAATATAAAAAAAAAAAAAAAAAAAAAAAAAAACCACTTTACTTCGTGAAAGCAAAATGGCGCCCCCCCCCCAAAAAAAAACTAGCAGGTTGCTGTAGCAGGGTTGGTCGCCAAATTTTCGCCGAAAAATCGCCAAGTTACGTAATCCGAAGATTCACCGAAATTCATTGTAAATAATACCTTCAGAAATGCTGAAGAACAAAAATGTTTTCTTATTCAGCCGAGCTCGTCATACCTTTTCGGATGTCCTCTTCCCTGACGTTAAATTTAACTTTTATGATATATCTCAGCAAAATTTCATTAATTTCAGACAAATTTCAGATAAACCTGCATCTCCTCTGATTCATTTATTTTGATTGAAGGCAGCGAGACGTGGAAGTGATTGTAAAACGCAGACATGTATTTACACAAATGAATATAGTGTGACAATAGTTCCGGGTCCTGCATTTTTGGTGCTCCAGGGCGATCAGTAGTCTTGGAGCTAAAAAATTAAATATTAATAATTCTCAGCGAAATGTATCTTTATTTAATTGTCGCTTGTAAAAACAGCTTAATTAACATCCTCCGAAAATCGGTTCCCTAAGCGGGTGGCTGCTTATGTCGACTAAAGCTTGTGCATTAATTGGTTGTTTATACTATCGATAAGACTTTCGAATCAATTGCAGGTTATTTATAGTTAAGATCTGGGAAGGTCAAAAATTATACCTGTGCGTCCTTTTAACTACTGCGCATATTTGTGACCATCTGTATATAAATTTACATATTTTAAATTCTAATGTATATTTCTCTAAAAGGAACTTTCATAAAAATTTATGAATCCTAGTAAATAATTTATAATAAGCATACTTTCTTGATTTTATGACACTGCAGATTAAGTTTGGATGTGGGATAGTTTTATTTCATTTTCTGAGATTATTAATTACAAATAAAGAATTGCACTTCAATATGTTCTGCTACCGTTTGTCAAAATTCAAACGTACAAGAATACATTTATTTAGAAGCTCATTATTACACATAAGCAGTGCATAATGCTCACATGCATAGTAAATAGTAAAGTTCATACACATAATGCTCACATGCATAATAAATAGTACAGTTCATATAGTACATAATGCTCACATGCATAATAAATAGTACATAATGGTTCATGTATAATATATATATCATACACATAATGCTCACATTCATAATAAAAAGTACAATTCGTACTGCATGCATTTACTTATTTATTAACAAAGTGCTCTCATTTGCCAAACTGGTACAATCTTTTATAATCATCTAATATCAGCGTCGCCACTGAAACCAAAGTGGCTTGCTGTTTAGGACTGAATTCACTGTATGCGTGCATATCATCGTGATACCTCATTTTGCATATTAAAACAAAGTCCAAATTTGCGAAATTATCTTGGGATAAAATTTAAAAATGCACTGATTAATAGTGTATATATATAAATGCATATTCATGACTACATTCTAAATTACAATTAAATATTAAGAAGGTAAGAATAAACAAAATGCAAGTTTCGATAGCAAAAAATAATATTTTACAACGCAGTTTGGAAAGAAGTTCTGAAAGAATTTTTTTTCAATAACAAACGCATAAGGAAGACTTTTTGCCATTTGATGAGAATAATGACAATATTTTTACGTAACAGACACTATGTAGCGGAATAGTTTTTCTGGTATGTTCATGGACAAAGATTTAGAAGCTAGTAGCAATGGTCGTACTATACTAAAAGAAACACTAATGAATGATATAAATAAATAAATGCATAAATATATAAAAGCAAACAAGTTTTCGATTAATCTGAATTCCCGTTTTTTCTGTACCTTCTTTTCAAATTTTTATCAGATTATTATTTAGTTTGATTGGTTAACTGATTGTATAATTAGTTATGACAAATCATTGCTATGTACACATTCTTAGTTGAATATATTTGTTGATTTGATTTCATTAATTAAAATACTGATTTGAGAAGGTTGATGTTTAGTTTCAAGAATTATATATTTAACTTATGAAGTTGTCAGTGATAATGTTGATTAATGTCAATCACTACGATAATATATTTTGAAATATGAATAATTTAAAGTAATTAATGACTGCGGTACTTAAAATACTTGGGTGGGGCGCTGTTAGGTTCCAGTTACTTTTAATTAAGTTGCTAAGTACTTTTAATTAGGTTAACTTTTCCAAGCACTTTGTACACTGTTAAGGGAATAGAGTATTATTTCAACATTTCATTTTAAAGTTCTTTTTTTACATTAAATAATAACATCTATATTATTGACTTCAAACAACAACAGAAAATTAGAATTAATTAAAACCCATCTACGTCTCCTCCTTTTCTATAGTCTGCATTCGCGTACAAATATCCGTCTTCTTCTCTGGCGATACCCATTACAGTTCCAACCATACTTTTATCCATGGCTCTGATTTCGTGGCCTTTTTTTCTCAACTCCTCCAGAAGATCCTAAATGAAAGAAAAAATATTATATTAATTCAAAATAAATTTGAAATATTTATTATGGCATTTTCTTAACAATATTTGACAAACTAGTAGTTTTTAAAATATACGCAGTACTAAGTTCAGTAACTTAGTGCTGTTTAATTCAAGCCTAAAGCAAACTGAAAATGAATCTTAAATTTATGGTGTGAAGCTTGATCAAACAATAACAGAATCATTCACTTTTTAACCAAACTAAATGAACTTAAGAAGCATAATTCTTGCATCTGTGTGTTAATTCGTTCCTCTGTCACAAATCTCCGCATTGGAACAACATTATCTAGAAGTCGGATCACAAACGTAAGGAAATTCACGCGGAAAGTAAATTTGAATTGCCTCAATTTGTTAATCATAGCTTGAAACACTTGATTTTTATCAGATGAATTAATTTATGAAACTGTTACCAATATAAACAGAGGATGACATCCAGTAGTACTCCTCGCCTCAACATGGCTTTCCTTATTTTCTTGATTTATTCAGAATTTTTATATTTTTTGTTCAGTGATCTTTTCTTTATATTAAATGAAAACCTGAAGGGGGGAAAAACGTGTACTTAACGTATTTTCTCATCGATGTTTGAATGTTTGCCGAAATTCCACTAAATATGAGGCAATCATTCCAGCAGAAGTTTGAAGGTATAGGAAACCGCAGAAGGAGCAGTTGTTTCGTCTGAAAGACTTTCAAATTTTTCTGCTCATTTAGGGGATTTATTTAAACGAAAAGTAATAGGATAATATTACAAAAGTAAAACTATTATCATTAAGATTATAAGCCCCTTTTGTGACTACTACTTACGTTAATAAAATTAATATGTAAAAAATTATAAATAAAAATGATAATTATACTGATTTGATATCGCTGCTTATAATAGGATAGTTCATTAGAGTCTGAAACTTCTGGCGCGGTTTATAAAGTAATAAACAAATACAACTTACAGATATAAAGCATACAAAAATCCTAAATTTACTATCATAATTTTTCTCGCTGCATCTCCGCTGTTTGTTTTCAAATAAAGTCATATAGCGTGCCCATTATTGCGCACTTTTCTTGATCCCATAAATTTGAAAATAATTGCACTGTTTGCTGTTCCGTAGATGAGGACCAACATTTTTAAGACGAGCAGTAGTTAATTCTTATCCTTCTTTTCAAAAACTAAACTGTCTTATCGAGAATTGCGAAGGGTGGAATGCTGTTTAACCCATTGCTTGGCGGAGATATGTTTTCTACGCGATACACCTTTTACATTCCGTGGTAACGTAAAGAATATGTATCTTAAAGAACGAAAGCTTCGCCAAAGCAGGAGTTCCGTTTTAGACATCAGAGGAAAAAATATACTCCAAGTTTACTTTCCATGTGTTATCCATGCAGCCTTAATACTTTTTGCGCATGCTCGAAAAAGCTCTGGAACCGGTGTCGAAGCAAATCCTGCCTTATGCGCATGCGCGGAATAGTTGTCGAGCTAATGCCGAAGGTTACCCAAAGAATCTCCTGGTTACCTTTCCTAAGAATTCAATGTTCTGTGCACGAAGTCTTTATACTCCGTGGTTCTGTGATACCAGTTTTTCCTGCTGTATCGACTTAAGTCAAATCAGTGATCTCCGCAGGTAGATCAATTAATGGATTATTTACTTTGAGTAACAAAATCTACGAAAATCCGAGTTTAAATTATCGCGAAAAGTTTTGTTAAATCCTACAAGTTCCGAATCTTATCAGTTCTTTGATTTTGTACAGTATTCCTCAATTTCCTGTACACCTAGTGATTTGGCGACAAGAATTTGTCTCTCTACGATTTAGCGATGCAGTAGTCAAATGGTTTACATTACGTCTACAGAAGCTTTCCTTCTTTGCACATACATTCTCTGGTGAAGGTGCATAGTGAGCTGTTAGTACAACGCATGCGAATGTTCAAACAATATAACGGTTTCATTTGAATTTTGCCGCCCAACCGGTATAGTGGTTAGCGTTGCTGACTGCCGTGCCGAAGGGTCCCGGGTTCGAATCTCGGAGAAGGCATGGATGTATGTAAATGTTTAAAAAGTTGTAAAAACGTTTGTTGTTAATTTCAATATTAACCATCACGGACTGGAGGAAACGGCGTTCGCCAAACTCCTCATCTCCTTTCTTCTTGCTTAAGAAGTAAGATTAATACAAATACAGATACAGATTTGAATTTGACAGATGACCGCTACCAGTCTTATGCGTTAAATTGCTATTCGTATGCCATTCTAAGGCAAATAAATTATACTTTTTAAAATGGAAAAGAAAAATTGTTCGACAAAATTTAAATTCGAATACTTATGCTCTTATAGAACAGCCCATGTGCATACTCGAACAGCATAGCGGTTTAATTTTGACTGATAATCGTTACCGTTTTTATGCGTTAGAGATTTTATGCATTTGCGGAGCAATCACGCATTTTGTGTTCTTTGGACATTTTAGACTAGCTGAAGTATGCCGCTCTGCCCAAGCTTTGCACAGAGTGAAGAGGCTTCATTTAAGGGCATGGAGGTTAATTTTTCCGAAATCTTAGGTAGACAAAGATTTGTCTCTTATTTTGGTTCAACTTAGCTAGAGAATGAACTGCAGAACAGTGTAGAAATAACAGCGTCACGTAACGGCTTTAGAAAGAAATGGTTCTTGCTTTATTATTGGTTATATCTTTTATCGGAAAGGAGCTTTCGGAAAATCACCTATACTTTGGCCGATGCTTCACCATTTTCGAAATATTCGTGAAAAACTGACAGAGAGAGCACTTAAATTTCTTTTTAAACATTCTACACTGTTCTGGAAAGTTTTACATTGTTCTAAAGAACAAACGAATATGGCGCCGTCTAGCCGATAGCGGGAATACAACAACGACGACATGAACCTAAGATGAGTGACGTGAGCGTGGATGACGTCCTAATATACACTGGTGTGCAAAACTTCAGCAACAATATAAATTTTAATCATATAGCCATGAACGTGCGGTCGGCGGGCTCAACTCAAGTCTACAATAAAAGGAAGGACGTAGGACATTCACTGCAAGTGCAAGTGGGTCCTTTCGTGAAATATGGCTAGAAGAAATCACCTGGATGACTTCAACACCTGGGAGAATGATGGAAAAGCTGCAGGAGGGGCGTAGTGTGACTAGTGTAGCTGAAGAGTACGGGATGAACAAAAGTGTCGTTTCGCGCGCTTGGAAAACCTTCCAAACATAAGTACAGCTGTTAGAAAGGTTGGTGGTGGCCGTCCCAGGAAAACAACTGCAGTGGATGACCGATATATTGTCCTGCAGGTAAAAAGTGCCCGAAACCAGTCAGCAAGCGCCATAGCTCAACAACTGTATACAGGAACGGGTCGACAAGTGTCGCGGTTATTGTGTCGAGACGCCCTCACAAAGATAGCCTATTCGCCCGCCATCCTTAATGCTGCATCCCTTTGAAAGTTGGCCATCGACGACACCGTTTAGAATGGTGCAAGAAGCACGAAAAGTGCGCATCTCACCAATGGAGTAGTGTCCTCTTTATGGATGAGTGCCACAAGCAATTCTCAACGCCAACTGATTTGGAGAGAGGTCGATTTCATCCCAGTAATGGTTTCATTCCAGGATCCCAGGATAGTATCATTCCAGTAACATCACGGAAAGAAACCGTTACGGTGGTTCTGGAGATTTCGTCTGGGGAGGCATTATGCTGAACGGGCGCACAGAGCTCTCTATTTACAACGACAGAGTTTCTGTAACTGGAGTTCGCTATTGTCAGGAGGTGATCCTTACCCCATACGCGTCTGTTCTATGGATTGTCATTCGGAGCAGACCTGATGTTATGGATGCCAATGCACGGCTACACCGGACTCTTGCTATTCAGAAGCTACCGGAAAGTGAAGATATCACTCGAATGGATTGGCCAGCGTACTCCCCTGATTTAAATCCAATAGAACATGTGTGGGATGCTTTGGGGAGATGGCTTGCGGCAAGATTACATTCTCCGGGAACACCGAACAACTGAAACAGATGGTGAGGAATGGGCACTCTTACCTCAAGATCTGTTGGACAGTCTGGTGTTGAGTATGGAGAGACGGTGCGAAGCAACCATGATTTAAATTAAAAAACGATTTAAACAACCATGATTACTCCCCTGATTTAAATCCAACAGAACATGTGTGGGATGCTTTGGGGAGATGGCTTGCGGCAAGATTACATTCTCCGGGAACACCGAACAACTGAAACAGATGGTGATTGAGGAATGGGCACTCTTACCTCAAGATGTTTTGGACAGTCTGCTGTTGAGTATGGAGAGACGGTGCGAAGCAACCATTGCAGTAATGGGAGGGCATACCCCATGCTAAGGAATATCTGCTTGTTGTTCTTCCTCTTGTACAGACAGTCATGTGTAATGATACTATGAATTCAATAAAGCCTTTTTTTGTTTGATTCCATACTGTTTGCATTGTATTCATTTTTGTGCACCCATGGTTACGTCATCGTTTAAGTACAAACTGCTGTCTCACATTTCTGAATTTCACGTCTCTCAGATGATTTCTCGTGGAGTTATGGCAAAAAGAACACCTGTTGCTTAAGTTTTGCACACCAGTGTAAATGCTCTGAGTGTAGACCCCCATGGGATGGTTTTCCGATAGCTTATGTTGACAGTGACCTTCCTCGGTCAAGTGTGCAAAATTTCATCAAGTTCGGAATAAAACTATAGATTCTCACACATTTACACTCACACAATTAAGGAAGGACTCTTCTTTATATATGTACATAAATTATAGATATATAGATGATTTTAATGAATCCAGCTAGTGTCATTTCTCAGATTCAATGAGTAATCAATAATAACCGAAATAAATCTGCGCTTATTCTAAATTAAATAGCTTAGTCTTACAAGGTATTTTTCCCGCCTTCCTAGCGTGCCTTCGTGGTGTAGCGGTTCTGCACGCTGGTCCGGTATCTAGAGGTCCGTGGTTCGATTCCCGGCGAAGGCGTTTTGCTAATTTTTCATCTCTTCGGCTTTTCCAAATAACCTAATGTCTCTACAGTGGCTCCCGAACTAAAAGGGTGTTGGATGATGGTTATCCTCACCCAGGATTTGGCGATTGTGCCCCTGTAAACCCCAGTCGCCTTTTAAAAGGGGGAGTATATAAGGTATTTCTCCCGCCTTCCTAGCGTGCATTCGTGGTGTAGTGGTTCTGCACGCTTCTACCATAATATCGGACTGCTGGAAAGCATAGAATTATCTCTCAGAAGACAGATACAGTACATTCATTCATTTGAGAGTCCATCACAGCCTGATATTCAAAGATTGATGGGGAAGCGTACGAATTCAATTAAAGGGACTTGGTGAGCAGTGAAATGCACAGTCAGAAATAATGCCAATCATGTAGAAGGCGAATCTGATTTCTATTTGGGAAAATCTTTGTATAGAAGATTCCACAATTATTGAGTAAAAACGATTTTTTTGCGCATTCGTATCTTATATCAGTAATCTTTAGTCGCTGACGCAGAAAGATGCAACGAAAATGAGTAAGAAATCTTGTGTTGCCTATATTTTACTGCCTATATTTACTTGCCTATATTTTACTGCCATTCTTTTCGCTCGCTTTTTCAGCGGTGTCTTCTGGAACTTGCGTTACTTGTCGGGTCACGGGATAATACGTAGGTACCATTTTTGTTATTTTTATGCACGTTATTTTTTGAAATAAATTACTAAAAATTGTATTACCTGAAGATCTTATGATTATGTTGTGACATTACGCTTATCCATTACTGGGGTTAAATCGCACTGTTTGGTGACAGTGTTTGTTTGCCAAAAATGATCGACGGGAAACTACATAAATACTGTAAAATTTCAAGAATTCTTAAAGTGATTTTTATCTAATATTATTACGCATAATTATTTTAAAACAAATAAACTGTGGCGATTTTAAAATCAATAAATTATGGCGAATATGGGTATGGTTAGGAATGCTTTCTTCTTTATATGTATAATTAGGAATACTTTCTATGTGCTAACTGTGCTCGGAGTAGATGTGCCAGACGCACCGCTTTGACGAAAATTTACCTTATAATTATGCTTAAAGTGCGAAATGCAAATAAAAAATTTAAATAATTAATAAAGCAATGTAATTAATAAAGATATGTGAAAACAAGCGCATTTATTCTTCGAAAAAAAGAAAAGAACTTAAAAAAATTTAGTAAAAATATAAAAAAATCATCTTTGACAAAAAGCGCAGCAGAAATAAGAAAAAATAACCAAACAGAAACATAAAACTTTATTCAGCTTTATTAACACAAATTTTAAACTTTTGCCCAGCTAATTTTCCTGATAAATAGGTTGCCATAAGAAACAAAATCTTTCAAAATCTCTTGTTTACCATGCTAGGCAAACAATCGCCAAATCTGGCGAATGGTGCGTTTTGTTTATCAATAAACCTGTGCTCTTAGCTGACTATGTTATCCTTTATGAATCTTATTTTGACTGTTCTTAATTATGCTGCTCAGATATATTAGCCTAAAAAAATCAAGGATTTCTTACCTGTGGAAAAAGTTTTTCATATTTGATGTGGTTCGGAAACAGCTGATGATGAAGTCTTGGGCCATCTATAGATTTTTTAATGTCATCTCCAAGCCATAAATTTCTCAAGATAGTCTGCAAGGATAATAATTTTGAATATCTAAGTTAGGAATACGTATGAATGAAAATACATACTGTCAATTTTATGGGTACAATCGTAAAAGGCATACAGTAATTTAAATGACAGGTACCGTTATTTATTCGGAATATATCAAAATATATTTCAATAATAGAGAAACAGTAACATTTTAATTCATTTTAAAAATTACTCTGAGAGTTTAGTCTTTCAATGGCATGTTAATAATTGTCATTTACAATTTTAATAAGAATTTTAGAAACACTATTTAACAGCGTAATAAAATTTTTTAAAAAATTAATTATATTTTAATTTTGCTTGTTTTTGGACTCGTTGCGGATCTTTTTCCTTTTCAAAGACAAAAATGAAATTAAATTATTTTTAAATGGGCTTGAAATTTATATCTTCCGATTAGCAGACTTCGATTATGGTAGCCTATGCCTTAAATAGAATATTCTCGTAGCGGCCTCCAGTACTCACTTTCCTTGACTTAAGCAGAAAATATTTCATTAAGAAGAAATATAGCTCAATTTGGGGGGCTCTATTTGGTAAACAAGCCTGTTCTGATTGGCAGTGAACTATTAAACTATTGCTAAAATAGAGCATCATATAAATAATTATGAATGAAAACAAACTTATTTACTTGAAGTTTACAATGCTAGTTTTTGTAAACAGACTTATACTATATACTACAAATGTACTAAAGAAATGAAACAATACGTAAGTTATAAATATGACATTGCAGTTAAATTTAGTATTTAGAATAATGTTCAATGGGAACATTTATGTAACAGAATTTATGGTACCCTTTTAGCAGAAATGCCCGCTCGACAACAGCGCAGGGCTGTCTTAACACTTTTCACTTGAGTAGAGTCCCCATGCTAATCCATTTATATTTCATTTCTGTCAATGATTGTTGGCTTTTTCACTTGAGTAGAGTCCCCATGCTAATCCATTTATATTTCATTTCTGTCAATGATTGTTGGCCTGTACACATTCGTTTCCTCGAGGTCCATAAAGCTGTACAAGACGACATTGCAACAGCGACATTTATTTTTAACAACGAGAGTCATCACTTGTTGTGGCAGTAATGTTTATTGTTAAAGTTTATGCTGAAGTTCTTAGAAACTACGTGATGAAACGCTTGGATATGGAATAATCCTTTTAATTTCTTTTTCATATTCCATACATATTTCTTCCAATATCAGGTTCAGTCTAATTATACTGAAGGTTACAATATATGTAAGAATTATTTAACTTTCTATATATCTTTGAATGAAGAGAGCTGTACGAGTTCATGTATGGTCCATACGTATTGCATTAGTGTTCAATGCAGCAATGATATATAAATTTTGTGTTCGTGTATGTGTGAATTTACATTACTGAACCGCCAACAAATCATGACGATCACAGCAGGAGCCCATCCTTATTCCTGCACATAATAGCTAACTCTATATTTCTATGATAGTTTTTGTTCGATATTAAGTTCTGAGTTCTCTCCTCATTAAAACACTTTTAAGGATCATTCCAAAAGTTAAATTGAGACTCGAAAGTAAAAGTTTCTTAATTCTACTGATCCACTTTAACCCTTTGCGGCACAGTGTGTCTGATCTGGACACACCTAAAAATTTCCTTCTGTACGCACAGAAAAATTGAATTAAAAAGGATTTATAGGTTACTATAGGTTACTCTGAATCTTCTTTATTTATAGTAGATGGCAGCTCAACACAAACCGGTCTATATATTTTAGCCATGTTTAGTTTTTCAAGACCCTCATTTTTCAAAGAAATCTTCCAGATTTTTTTAGGGTATAAAAGGAATTGTATGTTATTTTTTTTGGCTATATGCTAAACTCCTTATTTTTATATTAGTTTTAAATTTTTACCTTGAAATCTTGTTTAAAATCAAACGGCGAACCCTAGGTGTGCCCAGACCAGGCTCACCGATAATCTAGGACAACTGAGAATCTGTATTCTTTGTTTCTCCGCATCTTATCCGTCAGTTCATTGACAACAATGCTCGTTTCAGCGCCCTTTTCGGAGCTCTATTCAATCAGTGTGCCACTTTGGGCACACCTATAGAATTAAAACGATAAGTGCTATCTTCACAAAATTTTACTTGTGTACTCCTCTAGGCCTAATTAGACTGCCTATCTTTTTTTAAATCAAAATTCCAACTTTAAAAGGTAGCGTGCCGGAAAGGGTTAAATGCTCACTGATTCAACTCAACTGAATTATAATATGAGACGAGAGAGAGAAATGCAGATAGTTAAGGTCTTCTAACTAATAATCCACACTCAAGACTATGCGAAGCAGTTTTTTTTTAAATGTAGGTCTTCCTATAGTTATTTCTATTATTATTCCTTGTTAGTGTTTTGCAGTATTTGGCTCTCTGGCGCCTACAGCTGAAATGTACAGCCGTTCAGATCCAGAACTTCTAGAGAGTGTGTAATCGCTATGGTCTGGACATTCTCGGCTTGTATATGGATTTTCGGCTTAAATACGACTTAGTTACATCTGATCATTCTCGGCTTAAAATTGCTTCGGAAGTTTCGTCTTAGTGGTTGCATTTTCCGTTAATGATGTTCCAATGAACACTGAGATCTTTTACAGTATCGGATTGTCTTGCAGTAGATTACAATACTTTTACAGCCCTCCAAAGGATTTCTTATGCCAAGTGGTATTTTTACTCATTATGTCTGCAGTGTCATTCCTAGGCCATTGGCTGCCGCATACATTCTTAAGATTGCCGCTCCCAACTTTAAAAAAAAGTGCTCAATGATTAATAAAATTTTTATTTCATACTCACTAGTACTCACATGACGTTTTTACTCATTATATCTGCAGTGTCATTCCTAGGCCATTGGCTGCCGCATACTTTCATAAGATTGCCGCTCCCAACTTTAAAAAAAGTGCTCAATGATTAATAAAATTTTTATTTCATACTCACAAGTACTCACATGACAAACTGTATAAAATACTTATATGGCAAGTACTTACAATGAATTAAAAATATTTAGGGGTGGTATCGCCCCGAGAATCCGGCCACCCCTGATTTTGGCCGCCAGCTTACTTTTACGCGCTGCACCTCCACTAAGAACAGCCTTGTATGCCTGATTTGCTTATTTCATAATTTTTGAAATATTCAGATTGCGATTAAATGCAGATGCTCTGTCTTAAATAGATTTGTTTTGACTTCAGGATTACATTTTAATCAAATTTCATTTGCATATTTGGAATCAGCGCTGAACTTTTGTCAAATATGTATATTTTAGTTTTAATTCCGAACATTAGATTTTTATGGTTATTTTTATGTTTATAGCTAATTTGTTTTAGATTAGTATATTAAGCAAGACCGAAACAATTGTCTTTATGCAAAAGGCATTTTTTAGGAACATCTCACGCAAAGTGCCTAGATTATGATTGGTTGTTAATGTTTCTCTTGAAAATTACCTCCAAAACACTGTCGATATAAAAAATTCAATTTACAGTAAGATAACGAGGCTGAATGTTCTTTGGAATGTAATGAAAAACAAACAAACAAACAAACAAACAAATATCATAGACAAAAAGAAAAACACCAGAAACGGAATGCTTTTAACTGTGTTAATTCAGAGACTGTTTCATACATTATTTCATTGCACATATATCGTGTAGCATTTTAAAGCATATATCGTGTATCATTTCGTAGTAAGCATTTTAAAATTTAGAACTGTGTTACATATTGTTTCGTTTTCTAAATAAAAAGTTTAAAGTTTTCAGACCTGGGCAACACTCGTCGTGATCTGCGTTCCTCCAATTCCACCAAGAGTCAACCTGATATCTCCATTGGAATCGACAATGATCGAGGGAGACATCGAAGACATGGGTCTTTTCCCTGGGCGAACGAAATTCTTATTGCCAGGTGGAACATCAAAGTAATTGGTGATGTTGGGAGAGGAGAAATCATCCATTTGATTGTTGAGGAGAATCCCTGTAGAGGGAGACATAATCATGCTCCCGAAGCTAAAAAGAAAAGAATTACTTTTAAAACTTTACTTTCTTTGAAGAACAAATATTTTGAGGTCACCCGCAATATGTTTTCAAATAATAAAAGACATCTGTACTATGTTAAAGTCTGCAATAATATGTTTGGTAAATTCCTGTACAAAAATATATGCGAAATAGCACATAAAATTAGAGCTTATGTAAAGTTAATATAAAAAACTAAAATTTAAGAAATATTTCTATTTCTATTTAATGATGCAAAACCAAAAATTTTAATGACATGGGATAATAATGTTTCCAATTTGCATAGACAAGCGAGCTGAAACGCGTGAGGTTTCGAGAAAATCATGAAATCAAAAATAAGAGTGAATTACTATTTTACGTACAAACAAGTAACATAAAACCAGCTTTTGCAGGGACGCCTGATGCATACAAGACGTTTACTTCATTCACACAAGACTCAGTTTTACATTTTAACTCAGTAGTTCTCAACTCTTTTTTTGATCCCATGCTCCCCTTTCACTATTGCCAGACGATCATTCCCTCCTTACTTTCCAAAACTCGGAAAATACATTAATTTAAATTTAGAAAATTTTTTAATGTGTTTTATAAATTAAATAAGAATACTGATTCCAAAACTTGAAAAAAAAGCGTTTTTTTTTAAATTTATAAACTACAAATAAATATTCAACAGGTAAAGAAAAGGCTGCTCTCATTTCCCTCCTAAAAATATGAAATTCCTTCTAGAGGGAAATTCCCTCCTTGGATAAGAACCCCTGGTTTAACTGATTTTAATATATTTTCATTCTGAACAGACAAACAATACTAACATCAATCCAAAAATTTTTGTTCCTATTTATAACAGGAGTTGAGTTAAAATAAGGATACTTGCGTCTTGAAAGAAAGATTGAATATAATTTTTAAAAATACTCTGAAAAAAAAGGGTTACATAAATAAATTTCAAAATTAATTGTGGCTTTCAGATTAATGAAATATTCCATTAGCATTATGCTAAATTCACAATTCTAGAATGTCGTATTTTTGAGACAAAAGCTTCAGCTATTTTGCTCTCAAACTTAAGTTTTTTACATAATTCTTTTATTTTGCTGAGAGAATATGTATTCTATTTTGATGTAGTGTAAAGCTTCAGAAAGTTACTTAATTGAATTTAAATGAAAACAATAAAAAAACGCAAATTCGGGATTTACTATGGTGTCCAATCAATAGTTTAAAGGCCTTAATTAATCAATAGTGTAAAGGCCTTAAACAATAATGGAAAGGCTTTTTTCAAAGAGAATTTTGATATTAATTAAACAATCTTTTTGTGTCCTTTGTTTAACAATCTAAAAGCTCTAGAAATTTTGTTCTTCTGTCTAAGATCTATTTTCTACAGTACTGTCTAGTTTGTTCTAATCATAAATTAATAAATTCCCCATATTTTTATAAAATAGATATTTTCAAAAAAAAAAAAAAAAAAAAAAAAAAAAAGCGAACTGGATATCAATATATATAACTCACTATAGATTAATTGTGGAGGTGACGGATACTGCGTCACCATTAGGTGCTATAATCGACATATGGGCTGTTCCATGATCCTCTTGAATTGTAATATTCCCTCCATAATGACTTACATTGCAATAGGTTTTGTGATCATCTATGAGACTACGAATATGATCGGCATATCTCGGCGATATCAAATTTTTGACCAGCTATAAAGAGAAGAACAAGTTATCATTAAATTAGAATTCAGATAAAAGAGATTTGGTATACTATAAACAGCGCCGAATTATCACTTAGAAACATAAAATTTGGGCTTAAGGCCATAGATTTAAAGAGGTTTCAAAATGGTCCCTTAACTTCTCATAATGCCCCCTTTTTTTCAAGAAGGGAAATAAGTACACGGGACCCTTAAAAAAACGTTGTATCTCATTATATTTTAATCAGGCTCTGATTATCACCAGTCACTAGTTCATTGCTATTAATCCTTTCTCGAATATGTTTTCATAAACTTCAAAAGAATTGCGCTGCTTTTTTTGACACTGTAATTTATTTTCAATTATTAAAGTGTTTTTGAATCTTTCTTTCTCCATGAACCCCTTTCACCATTGCTGGAGGACAAGCAGCGGCCGAGCGGTAAAGTCGCTGAACACTGGTAGTTCTGTCTGAGGTTCGAATCTTGCCGAACAGGCTGGCTGCATGGGCATTTTCGTGGTTTTTCTCCTGTGTAACGTGTATACGAGTCAGTTTCCTTTAGAAAGTTCTCCCGAAGGCATCCCTATCCTTAGGCATATAGACCTCGAGAGCTTTGCTATGATTCAATTAACCAATTACCATTGCTGAAAAATCATTCTCCCCTGCTTTCAGGAATTCGAAATATACATATACATATATTTCAATTTAGAATTATTTTCTAGCATGTTTCTATAACTCAAAAAGGTTCGAAAATGTTGATAAATATGAAAAACCTGAATAATAGTCGTTTTTTATATGCGTGAACTAAAACTAAACAGTTAAATAAAAGGCAGACTGTACTTCCCCCTGAAAGTATGGAATTCTCCCCCCTCCGGTTGAGATACCTTAATTTATTGTATTACATAAAGAGATCATTAGTTTCTTATAATTATCTTCTTATGTTACAATCTTCGTGTTTTAATCGTAAACTTTATTTACAAGACATGATTTTACAGTCACAAGCCATTTTTCTGACATGATTAATATGATTACAAGAATCTTATAATGGAATATCATTTAAATAATTCTTTTTTAGTGGTTTATACAACGAAAATCGTTTCACAAGTTTACTCAAAATCATAGCACTGACTTTAGATCAGCATAATTTCATATCTATTAAAATTATGTCATTAAGATATGTATGAAATGAAAACTAAATATGAGAATTTCAGAATGTCATCAACATATTGATGCAGAATGCCATATTTTCCACACGAAGTATTTCTTCAGTGTTCACAGTGAAACTGAGTGTTCCTCAGTTGGGTTCCTGAACAGTGGCATAGCCTGAGCTTTTGCTGCCCGGGACGGTCCTTGTGTTTGCCATCTGATGCGATCCCTGGATATGCCGATAAATATCGATATATAATGTTTCTTGATATACAAACAATAACTTTAAAAAAGGGCAGAATGATGTACACGAAAATAAATTTAAACCTTATGCATATTTCTGAAGAAAAGCTTTAATTGCAACAATTAAAAATTATATCATCATTTTTTTTTGGTTTTGTTCGCAAACCCATCGATAACATTGCAGAAGTCTACTTGATTACTTCAGCTGCTACAATGCAGACAGTATAGAAAGAGGACTTAAATACAATAAAAAAATAAGCGTACACTTTTAGGTTTACACTTCTTAAATGATTTTTGCTTAGAAATCTCTTCTTACAAATAGCAACACTTAACAGTGTAACACAGTTGTAAGGAAGGTTTCGCTAATATTATAATATTTTAGAAAAAATAAATTTAAACAAATTGTATTTTGGATTGCATTTTAGAACTGTATTTAAAAATAATATTTTAGAATAATATTGCTGCGTTTTTCTCTTCTGACACCAGTTGTTACTTTACGTACGGGGTTTGTGTGGATTTGGAGTGAATAACGACGACACCTCACTTGATGAAATATTTTTTGGCCAGTATTATCAGGACAGCTTCAAAACACGTTTTACAGTCGTCGATGAACTACTGTAAACACGCTGACACGATCAGCGACACAGCCTCCAGGTTATCAGGCTATCACGGTGGAGACAGCTTCACGGAAAGCACTAGAGTACAGCTCCCGACTCTGCTCGTTCGTTCTCGGAACTCACGTACTCTCGAGACTCTCCACACTACAACTTGCGATGCACTCGACGACGCACAGAGCACAGCTCCCGACTCTTCGGTTCAGTCGTTTCCGGAACTTAACGCACTCTCTCGACGATGCACTAACCGCGATACACTAAGAGACTCTCCGATGCACTCGGTACTCGGTTGCCGGCTGTCAACTCGATCGACTCCGCACGAACTGACTATCTCGCACTCTAGACGAGGCACTCTCACTCGCCCTCTCGACGAGGCACTCACACTAATTGACTGCAGACCAGCAGGGTTTATATAGCTTTCGGCTTGTGTTCGAGAACATTCTGGGCTAAACCGGTACAAATTCGTTCCAGAAGGTTCTCCATCCGTCCATGGCATATCGCCAAATATCGCTAAATCGACAATTTCTAGCCAAATATGGCAACCATGCCTTCCTTTGCCATTTTATGGCAACCCGAAAACTGCTTTGCGGGGAAGCCACCTTACCGCGCCTGTACATTTCGTAACAATATTATAATGTAAAATAAGGAAATTATATGATTATATTTCAGAATAAATAAATAAATAAATAAATAAATAGAATATATAAAAATTTAAAGTGATCGTCCTTCCAAGTCCCTATTTTGTTTTTTCCCGCAATAAAATAAAACTCAAAAATACTTGTCTCTTAACGAGAAATTCTTCCTTATTATCTTATTATCTATATATATTATCTTATTATCTATACAATCTTTTATTTGGCTAAACTATCTTTTATTTTTTTTATTGAGAGTGGACTTTAATTTATTACTATAAAAGCTACTACTTTAATTCAAGTTTTAGTATTTATGTTAACATTTACTGGACTTTTTATTGTTTAATTTATAAAAGCACATTAAAATGTAAACTAAAACTGAGTAAATATATATGTATTTTTTTAGTTTTTACAGGTGGAAAATGATTTTCCAGCAATGAAGATAGAGATGCATGGGGTAAAACAGGTTGAGAATGAATGCTCTGTCTAGATACTGCTTGTATGATTAAAGGAAAGTTCTCATAAAGGACATGTGTAGAAGTCGAGCGATTTTCATTGCTAATGAAAGTCTTGTATATGTCTCTTTATATTTGTAACTTAGAAACAAAGCCATTTGAAACGTTTAGTCATTTCGTAAAACCATATTCTCAAAATCATTGAAATAATATGCAATATTTGTAATTGTTTATTACACACTGATCTGCAACAGACATCTAACTTTTATGTGTTTTCTTCATCTACGATCCAGGAATGAGTTGACTGCAAAACATCTTGCTGATTTACAAGATGATATGCGAAAAATTTTTAATTACACAGAGTTACAAGAATCTTCAGAGAACAAAAAGTTTTACAAACCTCTTTCATTTCTTTGGAATCATCATCTTCCATGTCCATGCGACGAGCGTACGCAAACTTGAAAGTTTCAATCATTCTGTGAAGAGTGAGCAAAGTCGCATTTCGAGAACGAGTGACATCAGCATTGATGTCCGGGTATCCGGACAGAACCTGTAGCATGAAAGCTAACAATGCGCCACTACCTGGTGGAGAAGGACCGTAGTAAGTCATATTATTCCTCAAATGGACTTTCACTGGATTTCTCATTTTTGGCGTATAGTTTTGCATATCCTCCTCAGTAATGATGCTCCCTGAGAAAAAAAGAGAAAAAAATGAAGGCATTAGAGATAAGCATTTGAGATTAAAAGTATGTTCTGTAATTTACGACACACTGAATACTTTATAAAAATGTGTTAGGTTATTATAAATATGTAGAAATGTAAATAAATCTATTAGGTTAAAATAGCTTACCTCTCATAGCTATAATAAATATTAATGACAAGCATTCAGAGAAATGGAAACATCTTTAAAAGAAAGCGAGTTCTATAAACATGGAAGATGCTGAGTTAAAAGAAAAAAAAAAAGGATCCCCCCTCCAAGATAAGTTTAATTTTCTTCTCGAGTAAAGCTCTTTTTCACAGACAGAGTTAGTCTATTACTGGTCGAGAAAGAAGGCCGTTTTAGATCTATTCAGCAAAGATCCGTATCATTGACTTTTTATACCGTAAAGGCATTTTTATTAGCTGGATGAGGCATCTGAATATTACGAGGAACTTATTAAAAACAAAACATAGACCAATGATTATAGAACCCATAGAAATAATTGGGATAAAGGAGTAGCTAATTTAAACGAAATAATCTGTAAAATGGAATGATGTTTAAAATTTCATTAGAAAACTATGATATATATAGATTATCTAAGACAGAATATCCTGCACGATGGATTGGACGTAGTGTGGCTTGCCTCCTCGCTCACCATACATCAACCCACTGAACGTTTTCTTCGGGGGGGGGAGGGCACATGAAATATTTAGTGTACGAGACACTTCTATACTGGGCTGAAGATGTCGCAACGAGAATCGTTGTTGCCACCGACAAAACTAACACAACATCACGAATCTTCGAGAGGTTGCTTTAGTCATTCATTCGCTGGTGTGAACTGTGCAATAACACGCTTTTCCACCACTTTGAGCACTTGCTATGAGTTTTTCTGTGATCAATAAATAAGATTGAGCAATTTTTGGTATCGTTCATTCGATTTCACAAGAACTCTTTTCTGTCTCTCTTAGTGGAGGACCCTATGTTCCATGGTAATTATTGCTCTCCGGATGGGTACTATCACCCGTTTTATTTTATGAACACAATTTAAATTCACCCTATATATGTATGTAAAATATAATTGTAGATTATTAAACCCTGATTATTTGTAGAAATAAGTGTGTGTAAAGAAATCATGATAAATTTAATCAAGGCCAAGAATTTTTAACGAAAGTTAAGTTTCAAATTATATTAAAAATGAATAAAGTAATATAAATAAATAATAATCAATTATTGATGATTTATTGAAACAAGGCTCACATCATCAGAATGTATAAGACTTTTGCTTAGACTTTTATATATATATATATGCATGTATAAGTATTTCAAACAGTTTGAATTACAACAGCAAAGCATTTAATTTTAATTAATAAAGGTAAGATAAACAAGATTAGGTAACACACAAGACAGACCATCTCTTGCTTTTCTTACCTGCTGATTTCAGATCGGCAAGAAATTTGCTGGCGAGTTCACTTGGACCATAAATCGCTCGTTGTTTTTCTGTAGCTATGATCTCCAAAGTCTTTGCCAAATCGGGTCTTTTAATTATGTCATTCTCATTGAACACTTCACCAGTACTTTTGTTTATAAAGATATTTCTACAGACATGTGGAATAAAAAAAATCTGTATATATTCTAGAAGTAAAATATTTGAAAATAGTTAGATATTTTAATTACTGCGAAGTACATGATGGTTATCTGCTGGAATTTTGGGGTAAATAATCAATTATGAAGTAATTGTTATTTATTTACTCCCAAGTTCGATTAATAGGACAGCATCAGTGCATTTTGGGGTTTCATTATTTGCATATAACAGAAAACCTTTCCTTTCAGAATGTACTATATTCAAAGAAAAATTATTAAAAAATATTCAAAATTATTCAAATTCTATAAAGAAATATTATTCAAAACGAACAACGCTTGTTGCTTTTTTATAATCTAACTATCAAAGCTAAAATAAATCAGTACGCGAAATGAAGTTAAATTCCAAAAGCAAACGGCAGTTTACATAGTTACATATAAGACTGATAGGATATACTAAGAACTTCTTACCATGTATTTTTTCTTCAGATGCTTTTAACAAAATGCCTATTTGTAAGCTAATACTGTTAATAAGAAAATTTGTTTCATAGTAATAACTAAAGAAGATACTAGGTGAGGTCTGTCACATAATGTTTTGGCATATCAGAATTATTTTAGGTACTGATGAACTTTTGAACTCTTTTGAAAAGCTTTGAGACTCCTTTTCTCCTAACTTATATTTTACTATTAGTCTTAAGAATTTAACTAATTTGAAATCTGACAGTGAATTTAATTTTTCTTAAACCTTTTATTTTAGTTTAAGATTAAAACTATTTTCTTCTTTATTCCATATTTTTTTAACACTATTCATGTCTCATATAATGAAATATAATCTCACCCATGAAAGATTAAATTGAGAATAAGCAATATATCTTTCTGTATTTCTAATGCATGCTCAGTTAGTAAAGCCCATGCATTTCTTTGAAAAACAGGGTATTTTACACTTCCCATGCATCAAAAATCCCTTTTAGATAAATCATTCCATTTACGATTGCGTCATCAGTAAACAGTATAAGTGGCGTGAAACCAACCAACTATGTTAAAAAAAAATTAAAAAAAGAAAGAAATCTTCTTTTACATATTCATTAATTCTGTATTGATCAAAGCATATTCATTATTTGATATTTAAATTTAATCTCTCACAGCTAATTGGAGCATTCAGAACAACTAGGCTGTAGTTTTTTACTTTTTGCTTTTCATTCCGTAATTTGTACTGATTATCAGAGAGTAATCTGTTATAACACGTAAAGCATTGCATCAATGCGATAATAATTAAAAAAATTGTAGAACCCCTTATTAAGTCTTCTGTTCTTCACATTAAATCTTTTCCTCTAACGTCTGACTTAAATTATGGTTCATACTTATTCAAGGATTTTGAGTAAATAACTGCATACATTGCCTTTCATACTCGAAAGATACAAGGTGTGACACACACACACACACACACAAAAAAAAAAAAAAAAAAAAAAAAAAAAGGAGACTGCTCCAATAAATCATTGTACTTACAGAATCAGTTCTTCGTGGCATTATCACCTTCGAAGTAGTTCCCTTCAACATTCGCACATTTCTGCATTCGGTGCTGCATTGCTCGTAACAGTTCTGGAACGAGGTTTTTGGGAGGCCCTTCCGGAGATTCTCCGTTTTTGCCTAACTTCTTCAACTGAGGTAAAATGGGTTTCCTTTAAGCAAGATTTAACTTTTAGGAAATTAAAAAAAAGTCGGAGCCAAATTCTCTTATTCTCATTCTGAACAAGGAGGATGCCCCATCACGGAAATGTTTTTGCTGGCCAGAAACTGCTTGACAGATAGGGCCGTGTGAGAGGGTGCATTTTCCTGGTGCAACAGCCATACATCGCTCCACAACTGTAGCCTTTTTTTCCTAATTCTTTCAAAGTCTTTTTAGTATTTCAAAGTAATAGTGTTGATTAACAGTCTGACCATTGGGAACCCATTCAATCATGATGAACGCGCTGGGCGCCCAAGGAGGCGCCTAGCACACTCATCATTTTCCACAGTGTCCCTTTCCCCTAAAAACCGCTTATGCCATTCAAACACACGTGCATGAGACAAAGTTTCATCTGCATAAACCTCGGTTGACATTTGAAATGTTTCCTCTGATTTCTCGTGGCTGATTTCTTAAGTTTCACAAGACACTTAATGTTGATTCACTGTTCGGATTTTACATTAGCCATTTTTCCAGCAGAATGCAGTTGCATGTGTTCACTCAATGGCGCAGTACTCCCCACGCCCGACTCTAACGTGGTCAGTTAAGTCGAAACTGGCCGCATGGATAGAGGAGGTGTTTGGTATGACGTCACCAAAACAGTTGTTGCCAACTCCCCTCTTTTTTCAAGCTACACAATTAGTTTCTTTCTTTCTTTCTTTCTTTCTTTTTTTTTTTTTTTCTTTTTGTGTGTGTGTGTGTGTCACACCTCGTATTCTTATCTTTGATAAAGATAGTTCTCTCTACATTTTATTTCTCCGTAAAGTAAATAAATAATGTCTATTTCTAAGTGAAATACATATACTGCAAGCGTTTCATATTTGAGAGTGAAAAAAACATATTGATGTGACTTGAAAGATGTGACTGAACTTGATGGAAAAGCATTCGCTGAATATCTATTTCATAATGCAATAATGTACAATGTTACCATCGTTAAAACAGTTAGACAGTCAATGAAATTTTGTATTTAAATGGATTCCTGTTTCCCAATATTAATCAATCTTCATTTCGATATTTAGTGCATCTGTAGAAGTACAGTCGGACCTCGATACCTCGAACTTCTTTATTTGATATCCCTTGTAATGTCCCAAAAATATTCCCTATATGTTTAGCATTAAATTAATGTTATTTTCCTATTGCTATATCGAAATATTTTCTTTGAAACTCTTGCTTAAGTAGACTTTCCAAATTCTGCATCAGAGCAAGAAGTAAGCAGCCGAATCTCTGCCATTTTTTCCCGAAAAAGTGGCCTGAAGATTTGTTCACTGGTAATTTCCAGGGTTTTACACTGGCATGATTGGTTCTGCTTTCCTTTGCATGCATTTAAAACATACAATGTTAAGAATGATCGGATGGAAAGTAATGATTGACGAAGAATTTTCTATCACCTTTAGACTTCAAAACAGAACAGTAAGAAAGAGGTGCAGTTTCTTGTTTCTGTTTTTTTCCTTGCAAGTCAACGCTCTTATAACCCTTAAATTTCGTTTCTTTGAAGTAGGTACTTCAGTTGCAACATGTGGGAACTTTAATAGATCCCGAAATTGTGATAGATATCTCCATCAGAAGAAGATTGTGAAGCAGAATTACAGAAAGGTTATTGGAACATGACTGTGAAAGAAGCAAATGAAGTTGTTAATTTACTAGATACCTTTCAAAGCGCTCAAACACGCTGAACCGAAATTATTCGCCCTGATCACTGTTTCACAGAAAGTTATTCAGATCAATTATTCAGTTAAGAAAATTTAAACAAATTGTAGGGGTTATTTTAATTTCCTAATAGTTATTTTTAATTTTGAACACCTTTCCTTATTTTCTTTTTTCCCCTTTATTCCTTGTCAAAATGAGTTTTTAGGATCGCGTTCTATGTAAATGAGGTAGAAGCAATATTTAAGAGGGAAGTCTCGGTCACTTTTGTAGAAGGGCTTAGAAGTTCTTAGTAGAGTTCTGTCTTGTTTTTACTAGAGTTCTGCCTTCTGGCTACGTCGGTGCTTTAAGCCAAATCTTACTATGTTCGGCTGTATTGTTACGTTCTTTTTAGTATTCACCGCTGAGCTTTAAATAGGGGCCAACTCTGCTAACTATTTCTGTTCAGCTTCGTTTAGTTTTTAATTAGTTAACATTAGATTAGTTTCTTATTTTCTATCCTAAGCCCATGTGGAGGCGTCCTGTAGGCCCGAGAGGGATCAACTGTAAATACGCGTGAGTAAAAATATAAAAGGGTAATTTAACTCTTCTTTGGACTTGTTGTTATAGCCTTAGGAAGTAAGCGATTAATCACTACACACTTCTCAAATATTCTAGTTGCCAAGGGCAATTAATTTAGCTAGAATCTTATAATGTACTAGACTTAAGCAAATAAATCAGCAAATAAATTTTGTTGAAGCAAGCTGAATGTTCCTACCATGCATTTGAAAATAAATTTATTTAAATCCTTATAAAGCATTCATTCTAATTTTAAAATTAAAAATTGAAATTAAACACTAACATTTCATAATTTTATTAATGTATCATATCATAAAATTTCATAACTTTAATAATGTATTATTATATGCACATAGTTCATTTTGCTCGTATTGCGATTCTAAAATTTATGAGAAATTAACATCTTATTATCTCAAAAACGCTTTTTAATCTCTAATTTTTTTCTCTTCCCGCATGATTCGAAATTTTGAGGTATAACTGCATAAGCATTATTCAGAATTATAATATTCTCATTAATACTACTTCCTGTAATATAAATATGCTGAAAAATGACTGGAAATTGACTGGAAAGATATTAATTGAAATATTATGATTTTAAACGAGAATATTAACGGATTGAGGTTATTATTAACTTAGGTTATGCTGGCGTTTTATTAAAACATTTGCCTGAGTAAGTAGCGTAAATTTTATAAAAATCCAATGATTTAAATAATTTATTTTTTGTTTCTTGCTTAAAAATGTTATGTATAAAATATTCAAATTATCATTGCTTTTGCTATTAATTAATTTTCTTCTGGTCAATGGGATAATTTTATTTATTTATTTATTATTATTATCATCTTTTTTTTTATAGACTAAACATTTTAAGTAAGAATTATCTTTTCCAAAGAGTGATTTTTAATTGTGGGTATATTAACCATCTGTTTTAAACTTTTTATTTTGTAATATACTCAGAATTTATTCAGTCTAAATAATATTTTCATTTCGTTTCGCGTTATAATCATCAGTCAACCTGTTAACAGTGTTTGTCGAAACAGAAACATGAAAAATATACAGTGCCCTCGCCAGAATTCAAACTCCGGACTTCTTGACTGCAACCGGTCTGCTTCAAATTCCATCACAAAGGCACTTCGTAAGGAAAGAAAAAGTATCTTACAAATAATAATAATAATAAAAAAAAAATTAACTATGACGAAAAGTTTTTTTTTTTTTTTTTTTCTCTGAAGCAGCACATGGAACAGAAAAATAATATTTGAACACTGACTAGAGAAAATGTTAAGATGTTAGTCTAGTTTTTTTTTTTTTTTTTTTCTTTGCTCGGGGCTTCGATATGCAATAAAGCAAAACTTGTGTATTAATTACTTTCTTTCCTGAAAAGGATTTGTAATAAACCTTATGACATTAAATCTGTTTTTGTTTCTTCTGCTTTTGTGTCAATAAAGTAAATATAATAATCAATGACAACAATAAAAAGGAGAAGCAGTGTATTTTAAAGGAAAGGGAAAACACTCTCAATGAAATTATGGAATAAATAGAAATGGTTTGAAAAACTCTGTAACTAGATTGAAATTTCTGTATTTGCCATATGCATTGAGATTAATTTATTACTCACCTAATGACCTCGAATCTTTTAATGTCATGTGCATTCTCTTTCAGGGCTTTAGCGAGGTAACTGTTTACTTTGAAACCTTCTTTGCATATTCGAATGGTAGGCTGAAATAGTTCTTTCCATGGAAGGACACCGAACCTGTTATAAGCGAGAGCGTATCCGGCTATCTCTCCGGGAACGGCAATTGCAAGGCCCCCTGCGGAAGAAAGGCATGATTTATTCCTATACACATGAAATATTATACATGCTTTTAAACAATTAAACCATGCGATTTTTGGAATGATAGTTGAAGATTAAAAAAAATTATTTTAGCAGTCAACTATCATTAAAAGTTGACAAAATTTATGAGAATAATGCACTTATGGTCAGTCACCTCCGGAAATAGTTTATACTGCACCAGTCACGATGATTTTGTGTCTGTCCTCCATTTCTTTGTTAAATACTCCCTTTCGTATAGTAGTGGATGCTGTATTGTGGAAAAGTTGTTATTGTGTTTTCGCATTAGTACATAGTATTATTCTTACTTAATTACTATAATTTAACGATGTAAAATTTTTCTTTGTCAAAATAAGTTAAAAAAAGAAAACCCTGATTAGTAACAAAGGAATACAAATTAAAATAGCCTTAGAATTTCCGACAAATGTAAACTCTTGACACATATACAGGATAGAGTTCAGTGTAAGAAGGAGTAGTGAATGTCTTGCCTTGGAGTAATAAATACATTCAACATTTTTATATGTATGTTGAATCAAAGAAGGCATTTTTAGCACATTTTGTATGCTTAGCACACCTACAAATTAGTTGCTTTTTAATGATTTATATTTATGGTTTCAGTTAGAACATTGGCGAGGCATTCTGAAAAGAACCCCAATTATGAAAGAGGTTATGCTATATGCAAAGTTTGAATATAAAGGTGGGCTTTCAATAAGCAAGGGCTTGCTTTATTGTTGAGAAAATAGCCATGAAATTCATTTTATAGACCTGTGAGGTAAAAAACTGCCGGCAGATCCAATAGCAGCAAAAACTTTAAAATATATTGAAGACAGAGATAAAAAAGGGATTTACATTCAGATCAGTGCAGTGCTGATTAAACGGGACTGATCTTTAAACTTCTGCCAATGAAGATATTTGCTATTGCTTCGGAAACCTCAATCCCTTCTTTCAAGTCAAAGAAAGGAAGAATAACTTTTCTTTTTTGCTGTATCACCGCATCATTCTAACTTATAAATTTCCCCTTTTTCTAATAAGGAAGCCAAATATCTGCAATAATCTATAAGCAAAATATAGAAACTGCGTATGAGCGAATCTTCCCTTTGCCTTTCAGTGAGCTATAAATATGTCGATGGAGGGCCTACTTGTTTAAAGAATTGTTTACCAGTGAGTTTCTCTCCCTCCAAAGAAAAATACTTAATGACCTTAAAGCACTTAATGAGAAATAAAAGTGACATTAGTCCTTGATAATGTATTAACTCATCCAGATGAGCTAGAATCTGAAGAGGAGAAAGACAAAATTTTTGTGCTTGACCCCTAATATTACCTGGTCGTCACAGTCTCTGGAATAGGAGGTTATAGAAAATTTCAAAAGGCTTTACAGGCATAAAGCTGTCAAAGAAATACTTTACAAAGGGAAGACTGAAACGTCTGATTTGCACTAAATGATATAAACGTTAAGTATGCTACCTAAATGGGGACCACTGGAGAAAGGCCCCAAGTCTTCATTTATCAAATCTTGGAGAATTTCATGACCAAATGTCAGAGTTACATGAAAAAAAAAAATAAAGAAGATACTTCTGTAGCTGAACATAATCCTACAATAATACAATAACACTCGAAATGGAGGATAATGACGCCCCGGTTATTGATTTGTGGAAATATCCTGATAATAATGAGCTTATTAAAGATGTACAGAAGTGGGTATCTGACCAAGTCAAAAAGCAACTTCTAAGTGATGATGAAATCCTTTAAGCAGAAAACGGTTGAAGAGACAAAAAAGAAAGCAACTATAAATGAAAAGGAGATAAAATTAGCCACATCTAAAAAGTAAAAGCATTACGCACTGAAACTGACAATTATCAAAAGGAATTCACTGCAGCTTGTATGGTGTTCATGAAGAAATAGCATAATTCAGCTTTATACTGGCGGAAAAAAAATAGTTTTTTATTCACAATTTGTTTAATTTCAACATCTATTTTCAAGATATAGTGCAGAATTAATTAACGTAAAAGTACAGTGATTAAATAAATATATGTGTGCTAATGTTTCTGAAATATTCTCATTTTTTTAATATCTTCTACCACATTGTATACAATTCGACTTGATCTGTCACTTCACTATCGTGTTACATCCGGTCCTGTGGAATTCAGTCAACAAGGCGCCTAGCGTACTTATGGCAAACATCCATTTCTGGTTGAATGGCCGTGTCTACACATGACCACCGAGTTGTCAAAGACAGGGGTATGGCCGCTCGATTGCTTTCGGTATACCTTACTTTAAAATAGACTAAAAAAAAAAGGGGGGGGGACCGAAATTGAAACTATTCTTCCACTATAGTACGGGTCCCTTGATCGCAGAAGAAATGAAATCAATCCCTTTAAATATCTTTTTAGAGGCTCAGAAAAGAAATACTAGCTGGGGAAAAGGTGCAGACTATGGAAGATATACAAGGAATCAAGGAATTCCTAAATTAAATATCGCATAATGATCCTTTTTGTGAGAGCTACATAAGGTTAAGATGATTCATACTACTGTGAACCAGGACAGTACCACATGACAAATATTCTGACTATAAATTTTTAATGGCCTTCGGAAGTGCCTTTGGGATACCACATAATTATGCAACACTAATCGGGTCATTCTCTTTCAGCCATTCCGGTAGTAAATATCCGTTGTCGTCAAATAAGATTAATATGCTTTTGTCAGTTATTGCCAACAAACGTCGCGTACTCTGTCTGGGTGAGGATGAATTTCTCCATTCCGTATTCATCCGCTAATTGCTGGATAAAACTGGTGGCTCAAAAATTCGGGACAGGAGTATTAAGCCCCGACCACATATGCTTTTGCTACGTGGGACTGGACGTCGAAAGGGACATTTTTCCAGAACCCGCACATTTCCACGAAACCTAAGTAGCTTAGTTACCATTTTCACTTACTAAACAGACTTAAATGCCAAGCAGTAATCGATTATCGCTCAATTTGGGATCGCGTGATCCTTCAGACGCAGAACTTTCGTCTGATTGGTTGATCTCTACGCGGGACAGAGCAGGAGACGGAACATTTTTGGCGAAGTTTCAAAATATCCCGCGTAGCCGGGACATCGTTTCCGTAGCTAGTCGGGACTTTGCTTCCAGTGGATCTGTTTCTTCCCGTTTAAAAAAATGGCTACCAGAATGTCGCTCCTCAGAAAAGTCCCGTCTAGCTGGGACCGTGGCTAGATATGATATAGTCCCTATTTATGTCACCGAAAGAGATACTGAGAGATGATTCTCATACGCACAGATATTTTTTTATCATACGTTTTCTTGGTATCTATTGAGCAGACAACGCTTCGTAGGTTAACCAGTGTAGAATGTTTGATATTCATCTAACGCTACTTTGATATCTGTTACGAGCTCAAAGATGATGGGAAAAGGATTTTCCTCACCAACATCTATAATATAATCGTCATGTTTTCTTCTTGTGATCACGATGGTCGTCCATGAATTCCTTTCCGTCCTGGTACTCTGTAAAATATTTGAATACAGTGCCGAGTTTCAAACAGACGTTCCCACAAGTAAAAAATATTTTCAGTAGTTGTACGCCTTACTTATTATAAGTTGAATGACACCCGACTGGGCTTCCCTGATGATATCCGTCCAGATTAGAATTGGAAAAGTAATCTTTACCAGGACAAGACCTCACCTCAACTGACAACATGGTATGATGTTTTTTCTGGTCTCGGTGCATAAATTATTGACATCTACCAAACATCATGTCAACTATTTGAGCAGCGCATAGCAAAAATTATGTTTCATCCGAACATATTTTCTAAATAAGACTAAGAAAATAAGACTAAGAAAGCTAGTGTTAACATAACGTTTTAGCAAGACAAGATTTTTGTTTTGCTTTCCATTGCTCATTGAGAACTGATGTACGAAATTTATTTATGTTTCTTCTCCTGTAAAAGATTTGCAAAACAGTGAAATTCCTATCTCTCAAAATAAAAGAAAAGAATGACAATACATAAATCATCACAATGCAATAACTAATAGATTAATGATTAAAACGACAAAAGTAAATAAAACGATAAAATGTTTCAAAGTACATATCCTTACAAGAAAATAAATCGAAACACAAAGGAAAAATAATAATAGATTGTATATCGCGTACATTTTTTTACAATGATTACAGAAATAAAGTGACTCTTTACCTAACTTAGATAATGTCGCATTGCCTTCGTACATATCTTTATGTGCTTTTCCAGGCGCAACTTCGCGGGCATCAAGATAATAAACTTTCTTTTCAGATCTGAAATAGACATAAAAATATTGGTGTAATAAATTCAGTGAGTAACATATTAAAAAATAAGTTTTAAAAAAAGGAAAAAGGAAATTGCATAAAACCTTTTATGGCATTCTCTGGCTAGCTGTCTTTTTAAACTTAATAAATTAAAATTATGATGGTTGGATGAAAATTATCTGCAACGATCAGTCGTGTGAAAGTTTAATACATAAACCACATGTCTTATTAAAAAAGTTCGTATATGACATCAGCGGCGTGGGATAATGTGTCTATATTGACTAGTAACATGTTATAAATTACTGGAAGCTTCATGTCGGAAACTTACAGAGTAGGAGGAAAAACTTCCTTGAAAATTGTGAAGTCTGTTAAAATTCGTTAGTCTATTGACATTTCAGAAAGTTCATGAAGTTCGTTGGTTTATTAATGTTTAACTTAGGGAAGCTGTTTAAATATAGTTAGAGATCATTTAAGTTTACGGAAAGGGCTTAGTTCTGAAGGTAAGTGTAATTTCCAGATCTTCAGTAGACACTGATGGTAAAAGAAGTGGCACTGAACTGACTATCCAAAATATTCGTCAAGAATATAGTACTTGTTCGTTGAATCAAAAGAAGAAGCTTCTGAAATTGATACGTGAAAGTCGGCCGATGTAAACATTTTTATTAGCTGAAAATATAAACATGAAAGTAATTTCCTTCAATAAAAATCATATCGAGTAAAATTAAGACTATTCTGAAAGTTAAAAGAGATTTAACAATATATTAAGTTTCAAGTATTTTGTTAGTTTACTGTCTATTCTAGAGAGAAGACTTCAACAAGAAAAAATATGAAAAACTTAAATATTGAATAGCCTTTCCTTTAATGATGTATGTAAGTTACTTAAGTAACTAAAAAAGAACCGGGCAAACTTTTACCGTTAGGAAAAAACGCAATGTTAAGAACGAGCGTCGGGTCGTTTTTACATGCGAAATGAAAAAGATAAGTTTCAGTTTAAATAAATTAATAAATTACTAATTCTTTACTTTGAGCTAAATATACATAAGATAATTGAGGACACATATACACTTAACTGTATTTTAGCTAACTAATTGCTAATCAATGAGCAACTAATTGAAGTTACCGGACAAAGTCGTGAAAGTTAATCAGCAGTACTAAGGAAAAGGGCAATAGTTTTATCTTTTTGATTTATTTATCATCACAAATCAGAAGCATCAATCCATCAGGGCTGTAAGTTCAGATTAACTAGCCTCTAAGCTCTAATAAGAACAGTCAAACATACTTAAAGAGATGAAACAATGACTAGTATAACACGGACTGATCTTCACATTTTCCCGAAAGGGTTTATTGCATAGGTTGTTTTTATTCATGGTAACGTAAGTATGAGTTAATTTCTGTTAGAAAGTTCTCACTTAGATAGAAGTCTTCGTATGCTTAATTAGTTTGTAGGGATTTATATTTATTTTAACTATCAATTTAGAGTTTAGACCTTTCCTGCAAGCCTTCATTCCTCCAATTGTCAGTGCCGGAATAGTTATATGTTGTAGCGCGCGTGAACGAATGCAAATTTTCTACTTTGAAGGAAGTAGTTAAAAGCCGAGTTTTCGGTAGGAGAAAGAGGGAGTTTGGCTCTAGCTGCCGTCTCTGCCGTAGGTCAGTTTGCTTATTTAAGTGGCATGATTGCATTCATCTGCTGCCACTAGCTTCAAAGGAGATTTAAGTTGCAGGATCTCGCTGAGCCCTGTAGGCTAGTTTTATCACTTGTTAATATTTCAACGTTTAGTTTCAATTATCTGACTTTCAGTTACCGCTCAAGTAGAAGCGAAGTTTGTTAGCGTCGAGTTGACGCATTGTACATTTTAAACAGTTAATAAAGGGTACGTGAACCCTTCTCCTGTGTAGTTTCCTGCTACTCCAGTATACAGACAAAGGTTCATTCGCTGGACTCTACTAGTTAATCAACCAACTGCCAAATAGATGCATGGCAATCAGGGCCATGCAGTCATTTAAGCATTTGTCGGTCCACCGCAGAGAACATTAATTATAGCTTTTGTAAAAGCTAAGCAGAAGTCAATATACATGAACCAAAAGGAAAGCCAAGCATACGAAGTCCTGCTAAGCAAAGCCTTTCGCTGACACTGCTGCTTCCAACAGCTAATCTCTTCAGCTTAAATATTGGTAGTTAAAGATGATGTTTGGAAACTTAGTTCTTCGCATCACAATGGCAAGGTCTTTGCATCGCAATCCTATAACTTTCCGCATGCCTTCATTCGTAATACTATAATCTTTATTCTTTACATTTTTTATGACCTGGTATTTAATAAACGTTTTTGCAGTGCACTGTAGAAGCCTAAAATTCTCAAACTAACTTTTGTGTTGCGGAAAAAATAAAAGAATTCAGGTGATTGAACTGTTTAAAACTATTTAAAACTATTCCTAAAATTTTATCTGAACTAGCTAGTCTTTTATAAAGAACTTAAAATTATTTGTTTGACATCCCAAATACAGAAAATAATCTAAATAGATCCTAGCACATTTTATGCCGCTTTAGACAAGCCAAGTTTGCATTTTTTGTTTGGGCATAAATGCTCAAATTTCATCCGAAGGGGGAAAAAATCAATGAAGACGTTTTTCGGGGAAAAGCTTAAAAATCAAACGATTTGATTCGTATTCATTACATGTTAATTTCCGAATAGATATTAGAATTTTTATTACTGAGACATTTCTTCTTTTATGTGAAAGAAAAGTCAACGGCATAACATCTTCAAAAATTATCTTACAAAACTTTCTTTTTATGATTGAATTAAATGTTGCTGAACTTTCGATAAAATTCTTTTTTAGCATTCAATACTTTATTCCTTAATTTTTCTGAAGAAATATAATTTCAATTAATGGATGATTATTCGTCAGAAGAAATCGGATGATATTTTTTGTTTTGAATTCAAAACATATCCATAATGCTTTCCTTTAATTAAAAGAATTAAATAAAATAAGTTAAATTAAACAGTATTACTGATTGTCATTGCACGAAAAACAGTGGCACACATATAATACGTACGAAAAGCAATAACAGTTACAAAATAATTTGCTGAATATACTTTAAATTTTAGCTTATTTGTTAATATGTATACGGTAATTCGAAAACCGTAGAATTGTTGGATAGAAAGTACTGGTATATATGGCCGAAGTGTTAGTTCAGCTACAGAACCTTTTGAACAAATGATGAACAATACAATGATCATGACGTATGTAGTTTAAAAAAGTGGTACGTCTAATGTAATGGCCATATTTTCTGTTCTTTACTTCAGAACAAAGATGACAGGAAGAACTAACAATCTCGATACCAGTACAGACTTAAAGTTTTGGATAACTTCAAGAGAGGGGCAGAATTATGTGACAATTCTTGGATTCGATCTTAAAGCAGTAATATTTTAAATCGTAAGCTTATTTTATATCTCAATAACTAAATAATTGAAATTAATTAATCCACGGTAGTTTCCTTTAATGTCGTAATCGAGTAATACTTAATTACCTCTTGTAAATAAGCATTAAGAAACCACCTCCTAGACCCTGACTTTCGGGATTCACAACGCCCATGCATAAAAGAGCGGCAATGGCAGCATCTACGGCAGATCCGTTCTTGGCTAAAATGTTCCTGGAAAAGCCAAAAGCACTTTATCAAAACATTTCTTATTTGATTATTTAAAAATAAACATAGATTGTTATAAATCAGAATCAGTAGTTTAATAGCGAAATAATTATAAGGAAGTAAAAGTCTAAATGAAATAAATAGAAAAAATTTAGGAGGGGAGATTCGAGATGATTAGTAGCATTGGCAGCAAGAATACATTTACAAATGAGAAAGTTTATAGTCATACAGCATTTTCATGGTTTAATGAATTACGCGGAAGGAAAATTATGGCATTTTGACGCATTTATTAAAATTAAAGTATACATGAATTTCTGAATAGTTACTAAATCTAGAAAATTTTAAATTTTAAAACTTGATAAATTTATTATACCCTATATAATACTTTACCGACTTAAAGATTTGCTAACTTAGTTTTACAGAGATATATTTAAAAACATTTTGAAGAAAATCTCTATGCATTTTTAAAATTTCCTCTGGATGTTTAATTCTAAAATATTAACATTTAGTCAGATAGAGAATATATTGCTGTTATGTTTGAAAAAAGCCCCAGTAAAGAGGCATCACAGATTTTAAGAACTTGCCAATAAGGATAAGATATAACGTAGTAATGTAGGATAAAATTTTCGAAAACTATGTGTTAGTGATTTTTTATCTGACAAAATCTGAGAAGCATATAGGAAAGATTTTACCTAATAAATTAAAATTGGAATAATTGGTTTTAATTTTAATTTCGATCAAAAGCAGCTTGGCGTGCTTCGAAAGAATATATGATCTGTTATTTTTACTAGTAAAAATCTACCCAAATGCTTTTTTCTGCAAACCTTAAATAATATAACATGGCGCAAAATGTACTAGTGTCATTATTTTTTAAAAAGGGATAAAAGTAAAAAAAAAAAAAAAAATCCGATTAATCTTCAGTTACAGATACACGTTTGGTGATATAATATGTGGTAAATAATGAATAAAGAAACATGTTGCCAATAATGTCCAAATCTCTCAACAATCGTTAAATTCATACGCGTGCTCGCTTTTAAGAGATTGATGAATGTACTCTTGCAGTTGAAAAGCTCGTATTTCCCCTTGATAAAAAGTTTAGTTCCATTTTTATTACAATTTTCTTAACTAGATATCACAAATAATTAATTACTTACAAAAGATTTATTAGATGTGTCAAGTTATAATTCTCTTAACTGTAATACAGATGTAAAGTCTAAATAATATCTAATTAATCTATTAATCTACTAAGGTATCTAAATAATATACAAAGTTCTCCGAATCATTCTACTGAAAATTCTCAAATACAAATATCTGTTTGCTAAAGAGAAAAGCTATATTGTTTGCGAATGCTAGAATCAAAATTAAACAAACTAAAATATACTTTGTATATTTAAAACTAAAAATATGAATAATGACACAAAGAGCGAACTGATTTTAATTTTTAAAAGCAGACAAATCCGTATACTGTTTAACTCTTAAGTCTTCTTTGCATAGGTTGTAACAAATGTGTTCTAATTCCTTACTGAGGGCTTATTAGAGTTTCAGATGAGTTGCATAATTTTGAAGACTTTTCAAGCGTATTTTTTTTAAATGCCTCAAGAAAATGGTTACAAATACAAAATTTTACTTTTTGTATAATCCGCGGAGAACGAAACATTTTGTGAGTGAAGTAGCTTTCATAAGTACAATAAGTTTTATACATTCTAAAATTCTTGAGCATGATTATAATTACAAACGAGCTTGATTATATTACATAAGACTATCTAGAAATAATGAATTCTGTTTCATCCAAAATAGAATTATCAGTTGCCAAAACAAGAATCATTTGTTTTACAGTTTCTTCCTAAATCCAAGGGGGGTGAGTATTCAGATTTAGTTCGGTAATATGCGTTGAAATGTAATGCATGTCAGTAAATTTGTCTAGATTTTTGTATTTAAAGATGTAGTATTTTTTTTATGTTAAATGTGTGAAACCTTTTGTTTGTTTTAAACTTAAGAAAACAACAGCATTTTATTGTTTAGATTTTTTTGTTCAACGGGGGCAAGATAAAAAGTTAAATTTTGCATTTAAAATGCACCCCATGGTTTGGAAATGCTTTCATAAAATTGTCTATCTTATTTTGAGATAATAGGTAGCACATCTTTAGTATTATTATTTAAGGAAATAAGTCCTCTTGCTACCTCTTTCGAACATCTTGTATAATCACTTAATGGAAGATAAAGAAAAGTAAATTCACTCATTGAATCAATAAAAACTATTTCACTTATATATGGAAATGTTCATATACTACTCACAAAGCCTACTTACTTGCCAATGACAGCACAGGGAGCAGAATCCGTGGACACAGCTGCAGATGCATATTTTCCCAATTTGGAAATAGATTTGTAATTTGGCATCCAATAATCTTTGGTTGGGCGTGACACAGACAGAGAGACAAATAAACAGACGTCTACGATAGCCACGGCTAAAGCAAAATTTGCTTTAAACGTCAGAGGTCGACTGAAAGTATTGAAAAAAAAAATGGAATGAATATCTAGTAGTAGTTTAAATTGATTCTGCATTATGGAAAAATATTACCCGATAATTGTAACACTTCATTCGAAGTCTGGAAAATGATTTAACCTTTTATTGTTATTCGTGTAATTCCTCATTAAACATGCAAGGTAAAGATATTTCACTAAGTATAACTATGTTTAAAAAATCTGATGTGTACCCCACATGACTTCCTTGTACGGAATATTAAATTATACGCATTTTTTACTGCATTTCATATAAACTTATTCGCTCGAATTTCATTAGAGATATATTTCTCTTTCAATTAACTCAGTTTTCACTTCGCGGCTAGGGAAAAATACATAAAACCCCAGTCGCCTTTTAAAAGGGGAAGTATATTAGGTATTGCTCCCGCCTTCCTAGCGTGCCTTCGTGGTGTAGTGGTTCTGCACGCTGGGCCGGTATTCCAGAGGTCCGTAGTTCGATTCCCGGTGAAGGCGATTGCTCATTTTTCATCTCTCTGGCTTTTCCAAATTAACCTAATGACTCTAAAGCGGGGCTTTCCAATTAAGCTAATGACTCTACAAGGAAGAAAAAACGAATTAAAAATAGAACATATACAGTGTCTCACAAAAGTGATGGGACACTTGTGCTTTACAAAAGGAAACTGTAGTAAAATAAATTAAAAAAACATGTAAAAAATTTTTGTGGGTGTGTTTCATACTTAAATTTAGTAACAAATATTACATAACATACATTTTGTCAAAATATTAAAATAATAATTTAATAAAATACAATTGTCCTAGAATGGAGCAAAAATGGCTCACATAAGTGATGGGACACTTACTTTTCCATCAAATTTTATCCAAAAATTTTACTTTTTAAAAGGTTTTTAATATTTTGTTAGATTTCCTTTTACTTTTAAAACATGATTTAATCTTCTTGGGATGGATTTGACTAATTTTTTTGTGATTTCTGGAGTGATTTTACCCCATTCTTCTTGAAGCACCGATTCTAATTGTTGTTTTGAAGAAATGGCGTGTTTGTGAATTCTTGATTCCAATTCTTGCCAAATATCCTCTATGGGATTTAAGTCTGGAGATTGTGGTGGTGTTTTTATTATTTCAGGACAGTTATACAGCAGCCAGAGTCTAACATTCAAAGCTGTGTGCTTGGGGTCATTGTCCTGGTAAAATTTAAAATCGTAAAAAAGGTTCAATTTTCGTGCTGAAGATTTCAAATTTTGATTTAAAATGTCAATATACTTGTACTGATCCATTATACTGTCAATAAAAACAAGATTACCAACTCCAGCGGACGACATACACCCCCATCCCATAACTCCTCCTCCACCATATTTTACTGTTGGCACCAAGTTCTGTTTGCGAAATTGTTCCTTGGGTTTTCTTCACACCAAGATTCTACCGTCAGAACCAAATATATTAAATTTACTGTCATCAGCAAATATAACTTCATTCCAGTAATCAGAATTCTTATTTATGTTGGATTTTGCGAAAGCCAGTCTGAGTTTACTATTCTTTTCACTTACGAAGAATTTTTTCCTGGTTACTCTACCGTGATATCCAGGAGATCGAATTACTCTTCTAATAGTCTCAGAGTTAACAATTGCTCCATATAATTCTTGTAAATCAGCATCAACTTTAGGAACACTCATTCTTGGATTTTTTTTTTTTTTTAATATTTCGAACGATAATGCGCTCTATTCCATTGGATAGCTCTGATGGGCGGCCAGGTCTTCTTTTATCCTGAATGATAGGATTCTTTTTATATCGTTTAATGATATTAAAAAGTGTTGAATGACTCAAGTTAACTGTTTCAGCAGTTTCTCTATAGATTTTCCATGTTCAATGTGCAAATTAATAACTAATTTTCGAATTTCAGGCAAAGTGTCTTTTCGTTTAGCATTCATGGCTGCACAGAGCTAAAAAACACAAAAATTCCAAAACAAACTGTAGAGAAATACTGCAGAAGATTTTATAAATTATTGCCAATTGCTTTTGAGTAAAAATAAAAAAACCCCAAAAATATTTTCATTGTAGTACGTAATAGTATCTAATGGTGTCCCATCACTTATGTGAGTCATTTTTTGCTCCGTTTTAAGCAATTGTATTTTTATTAAATTAATATTTTAATATTTTGAGAAAATGTATGTTATGTAATAATTGTTACTAAATTTAAGTATGAAACACACCCACAAAAAATTTTACATGTTTTTTTAATTTATTTTATTACAGTTTCCTTTTGTAAAGCACAAGTGTCCCATCACTTTTGTAAGACACTGTATATATGAATATTCAAAATGGATATTTTCGTTGAAATATGATACGTGAAAGTTTTCGTGATTACAACACTTCTTTTACTTCGTACAAGGAAGTAAAACATAAGGAGGCTGCTAACAATGGTGGATTTAAACCGAAAATTATCGAAGAAAAATTTAAGTGAATAGAATGCAATCATTCTAGTATATGTCCTTGTTATAGTGTTGTTTCTATTGTTTGTTGAAGTTTTGTTGGTGTCCTCATACATTTCGTATATAGGTGCCACACAATTTTATTTTTAAGTCACGTATAATCAAGAGTAATATGATAGTTAAAAATTATCTTTTACTTTTTAGTACATTTATCTAAAAATGTGTAACTTAAAAAAAGTGTTTTTATCAGTTTTATTTTAAGAAGGTTTTTTTTAGTTCGTACAATGCTAAGTATTAGAAAGCGAATGGAATTGAACCAAATTATGCCGCGAATATCGCGCGACGTGTCCGGCTCAATACAAATAAGGCCATATAAGGCACATCACGTACATCTATCATGGCCGTAGAACCCAGATGGGAGATCAGTGGAGGGAGGTAAAAGGGGGTATGAAAGGATCGAAGAACAATCAAGGCATCGTAATAAAGAAAGGAAGGGCTGGAGTATACGGGAAGCAAAGCAAATCGTAACATTGTGTAATAAAATCCACACCTCACCAGTTACTCTTTCTGATTAGCACAGCAGTAAAGTACACGTGACGCCATCTCCCCCTACAAATACTAGTTAAATATTAGAAATACCCATTCTCTCAAATACTAGTTAAGATTACATTTTATTTATTTAAATTTCTGCTCGATTTAGAAATCCGATCTCCATCACCACTTAAAATCGCTGGCCTGCTAAAAGTGATGGATTCAGTCTTTTGATTTAAAAATCGATAATTGTAATCAGCTACATGATAACAAAAAAGAAAGAAATCTAATGATTTTCGTAAAGCTGCCAAAATTCGGATTAGAAATTTTGAACGGCATGCGAAATATTAATTTTAAGTGTATCATATAGTAGAGAGACAAAATTCCAAAATTCGTATAATTTGCAAACAAAAAAAATAAATAAATAAAAAATAAATAAATAAATAAATAAATTGCTAGAAAAAGTATCGATATTATCGATAATCGGGAGAAAAATATCGGAAACATTTCCTATAGAATTTTTAACCCACAGGACAGGAACTAACATCGCAAACGATCGCTTTTCTAACTCAGCGTTTAAGAGAATGGGATGGGAAAGGGTCAAAAATTTATTCCTAGATTCGATGAAAAAAAAAAAAAAAAAAAAAATCCTAAAAATAATATTATTGTTGAAAACTATAAAAACTAAATTTTTACTGTTGATTATTATTAAAATTAAAAAAGAATTTCAATTCTAAAAGCTTTCACGTTATGCGCTTTCTTTTAATATAAAAATTTAATATGCAGAAAATTATGAAAACCTTAAAAATTATATTACCGTTTGCATAAAATTAAAAGATCCAGCGTGCATGATAGAATAAAAAAAAAGTAAAATTTTACGATTAGAAACGATTAATTTTATAATTTAGAAACTTATTTTATTTTTCACAGTTATATAGTCTTAAACAACATTTGTTGAGAAATGTTATTAAGTAATCCTGCTGAAATATCTTTAACATTTTAAATGTTTACGCAGACGGCCGACGCATTTTTATAAGCAAAAGATTTTGCACATCGGCGGTTGGCAACTACAACCTATCCTACTTTTGATTTGCTCTAAATAATGGAGATGATTCTATCTCTAACTGAAAGTAATAACACTTCTTCAAAGTGTTAAAAATGAATTTTTCGCAAATGGTATTTACTTCATATATAAATTTCTCATATATGCAACCGAAGGTTAAATCAGTCATGCTTTTTATATTACATAGATTGTGATATAAGCAATGATCGAAGGGTTTGCTTTCTCCTCAATATTTGGCTTCCAGTGTGATACAGTGGAATTGTTAACATTGAATGAATTAAAACAAATGAGACTGCAGATAAAAAAAGTCCAAAACAGTTGAATTCTAAACAAAATATCAAAACGTTTCAATAACAATAATTCTAGTATGTAGGAAACTATGAGAATAATAGAATATTTTCCCTAACTTTTATTCGGCACTGAGGGATTATGCGATTCAACTTATTCCAACTTTCCTTTTAATAACTAAATTCGTCTTTTCTGTAAATAAAGTACTATTCAATAAATAAAGTACCATTCTGTAAATTATGTAAATTCAATTAAAGTACCATTCTGTGAATAAAGTACCATTCAATTTTATAACTTAAATTTTCTTAGAGCAAATTGTTTTTTACGAATCCATTAGGAAAATGGGCTCTCCAAGTAAATCTAATCAGTGCATATGAAAAGCACTAGAATTAGAATTGCATCATCAACATTATAATAGTATTATTGCTGACCAAATATCCAGTTTCACATTTACAGATATTTACAATCTCTAAGAAAAACATTTTTCATCAACAATCAGGCAGAGAACCACGCTCAAAATTTTGCTAACACACGAAGTGAATATGCTGATCTTACATTAAAAATTTTTGAAAATTGAAATAAGCGAGGAATTCTCTCACAGTTCTAGTATCAGCCGAAAGGAGCTGATTTTGAGGTTTAACGAAAGTTTTCCCGCCATCGCAAATATCGTCTGCGCACACATTTCGCGTCAGCGTATTTAATCATACTTTTTAAAATTATTTTTGGCAGTTGAAAGTAAGAGACTTGCTTTAGAACATTGTATTGTGAAATTTATAAAAAATATCCTTATCATTGAGTACAAGGTGTCTGGAATGGAACTATCACGCTACCAGTTTAGAACCATCATTTACTTCCATTTCTGTTGCAAAAAGTCAGCTACAGAATGTTGCCAAATCATGTGTATAGCTTTAGGTATTAATGTTGTATCATATGACACTGTGAAGGTTTGATACCTAAAGTTCAAAAACAAGGACTATGACATTCAAGAAGCAGAGCGCTCTGACTGGCTACTGATGCTGATGAGGCCTGTCTGCGAGAACTTATGGAAGATCAGTATGCAGTCACTCGAGAGCTTGCTAAGGAGTTAGACTTTAGTGCCATGTCCATTAGTCGCGCTATGCATCGCATAAACTAGACGTACAAGTTCAATCGGTGGGTGCCGCATGAGCTGATTCAAGCAGATAAGAACAGGCTTGTTCGGGCCTGCACTAATATGCTTGAATATCAAAGGCAAAATTCTGGGCCATATCGTTACTTGTCATGAAAAGTGGATTTACTTCAACAACAAGCCGAAAAAGGGTTGGTTTGCCCTCGGTGAGCTCGTCGGCAGCGTTGCAAGGCGCAATTTGACTAACAAAAAGATCATGTTTTTTATCTGGTGGCACTGCCGCGGAGAATGCCGTTGCATCCATAAAGAGTATGAGGAAAAAGGTAAAAACCTCGACAGTAAGGCGTACAGTGATATGTTAGTTTGTGTTGACGCTGCTATTAAGGAAAACGTCGAACTAAGTTCCGATCCAAAAAGGTAATATTCCATCAAGATAATGCAAGACCACGTGTGTCTACATTCACCGGCTGGACTCTTACGGACTCGAATGGGATCTTTTGTCACGCCCACCATATAGCCTCAGCATCGCTCCTTCGGGCTTTTACTTTTTTGACGCCTGCAGCTACATCCTGCTGGTGCTATCTTCCATTCTGCACAGGACGTCCGAAATGAGGTTGATCTGTTTTTGGACTCGCGGTCACCAAGTTTTGAGTTGAAGGCTTTGAAAATCTAAGAAAAGGTTGGCAGAAAATCATAGATTTGGGTGGTGTTTACTACCCTCACTAAAAGTACTATTTTCATGGTTTTTTTTCTTCCCCTAATTTTATTAAGCACTTGTTTTGGAGGAAAACTTTCATTTCAATGAGATGTTTTGTGTTAAACTAATGGTGCATTCATAGAAGTGCAATAATCGTAAATAATTTTATTATGTAAAATGCTTTTTTAAATTTGGAATAATTTAATTGCAAGAAAAGAAACTTGCATATTGCATAAGTTTTGGCTTTGGATTCTTATCACTAAAACGTATTCTACCTGATCATAGATTTGATAAGCCTTTTTAAAACGAAAGTATTTTCGCTCTCTTGAATGGTCTCTAAATTTGTAATGTTACCTTCGTAGTTTAAAGAGCTTGTAATTTTTTATAAATGCCTGATTTGTGTTTGGAAAGATTTCATTTCGGATAACGTTTTCAGACCTTTTAGAACTGGACGTCCGATTTAATGTAAAACATTGTAGTTATTAGTTACTGCAAATGATTTATGGTTTTTAATTTATTTGCAATCTGTTTATAAATGGATGAAAAATTCTCATAGTACCGGCTTCGATGGCCTTTTGGTAGAATCTGGATAAGAAAAGCAAATGTTAGATTGAGTTCAAATTGTTAATAGACTAATAGAGGTAGTAGTAATAATTTATCATATTTTATTTGTTACTAACACATTAGTATGATTATTTGATTAAAGCAAAACACTCGAACGCTACCTGCCTGCGTTGAAGAATGCTTTCGTGGATAAGTGAAACTAGTTCGTATCGACATTGCACATGGGGAAAGCCACGAAAACACCCATGCAGACAGTCCATGTGCCTGGAATCGAACAGATCGAACACCAATGTTCAGCGACTCTACTACTCGGTCGCTGATGGACTTTTACTAGCGTGTTAACGAACATATAAAGTTTAAATGTGTTATTTATTTAGCATAAGAAAACGGTAGAAATACAAATTACTACTAAACGTGAGAAAAATAATCCACTTTTCTACAATTTAGCTCTCATTTTTCCCTAAGTATTTTTTAAAATTATTATAACTAAGCACATAATCAAAATGCGTTTCGTAAAAGGTTCCCTGTAACATTTATTTTAATGAACACATTTTTTTTATATTAAATTTGTCCTATGTTTTTACTGTTTCGTCTACTCCATGAAAATATATAAATGAGAAAAGTTTTAAATAAAAGTACGAACCTAAGTTTAAGGGAAGGAGAACTGGTAATGCCGACCATCCAAATAAAAATTCTTCTGGTTATTTCCTATGCGACCGATATTTGTCTATGAAATGATGAATTTCTCCTTTGCTGTTGAATATTAAGCAACGGTTCTGCGAAAGTTAATCGAGCCAAATACCAAAATAATAGTTAAACGTGTGAATTGCTAATAATTTAAATTTCATATTGTCTTTCATTTACGCAAGGTTTTAGTTCTGTATTTCAAGGTTGGAGACAGAGTAAGTTTTAGCTATTTTCATTTCTGTTGTATTCGCTTACCGTTTTGAGATTGTAGAAAGAGCATGAAATTTCATTTTTCAGGCTAGAACGTTAGATTTGTTTTAATAAAGCAAAATAAAGCTTAACCTTATGTCTTCACTTCCTGTACATAAAGAATCTATATAAAATTCGTTTCGCACTAAACTTTGCAAGATATATAGCAAGTGAAACTGGCAAAATCGTCGGGCCTTGAATTCAGCCGTAGTTACATGGGGGGAAAAAAAACCGGTTCATGCTCTTTTCATTAAGTATAATCGTTAATCAGGCTGAAGCCTAAAATAAGACGAGCTCGAGTATTTTAATTTATTATTTAAGTATTTATTATTAATTTAAATCCTTCATTTATATAGCTTAATAATTTACTTAATTTACTTAATTCTTATAAAATTATTTATTACGTTATGAGATTAAATTAAATTAATTTATTAATTTTATTCATCTATCTTAACGCCTTCCATAAGGCACCGGGTTTTCTAATTTTAGAAATCAAACCCTGAAGATAGTTGATTAGTAATAAAGTAAACAGGTGCAGTAGAAGTGATCTACATAGTATTTTGTAAACAACAATTCAGATCAATGATTTTTAAAATGTTTACAAAGGCAAAAGCTAAACATTTTACTATTTATACTAATTCTTTAGTGATAATACATGAATACTATTTTTGATATGAATGTTAATATACAAGTAATAAGGAAAAAGCAATTACCTGTTAGTTCGCATATTTTCCGAATTGATTTAAGGATCCTAAGCTAAAATACTGGCCAACAAATATACAAAAGAGGGATGAAAAAACGCTACTTTTATATATGTGTGAAAAGAACTTTTTATATATATTCATGTCGAAATTCTGATAAGCGTGCGAAAGTGAAAGACTAAACAATGTTATTGATATTTAGATTATCACACCTGACAATTCCTTGTGATAGCAGTTTCGCTAACTTAATATCTGTTCCTTAACCCTTTTTATGCTGAAAATATTTCAATTATGCATGCAAATATGTCAAAAGCGCTTCTGCTTGTACGAAACAACTAAAACCTTTTAATTGCAGAATGAAAATATTTTTAGAGTTTTACTTACGATAGAATGTAAACCACCTAGCTATATGTACGGAGAATTCGTAGAAAGACTCTACAAAAATTGATTCTGGTTTCATGGAATTAAACAATGAAATAAAAATAAAATTTATTATTAACAGAAATTAATTTTTCAAAATTAATTCTTTTAATTTCAATCTACTTAACTTCTAGCATTATTTTTTATTTGCTTATTTTAGTTTGCAGTATATAACGTTTAATAATTTTTAATAATTTATTTAAAGATTTATGTTTTGTAGTTAATTATTCCTTAAAATTAATTTCTCGAATGTAATAATATGAAAATTAATTTCTCGAATGTAATAATATGAAAATAATTTTAGGAAACAGATTAAACAGTTTTTTGTAAAGATTTTGTTCAAAGTTAATCATTGTTGTCCGAATAACTTCAAATATAAGGTAATAAGTGGTATAAGGTAACTTCAAATATAAGACAATCTTGAATTTTAAAAGTGCACGTGGCCTGATTTAAACAGGGAACTTTCAAGGGGACTTCAAAATCCTTCTATAGTACTTAAAATGTGTCCAATTTTATATATTTTTCCAATTCTATATTTTATCAACTATAAAACAGAAAAAAATTATAAGAATCCTTTAAGTTCTCTTTTATTCCCGTCTATTTTTTCCCCTCTTCTTTCTAATTTCCAGTTTTAGCTGTCGAGAGTTTTTCCTGAAAATTAATCTGACCTAATTTATCAAAATAAAACATAGGTTTCTGATTTAAAATGCAGGGTGTTTATAAAGTCCCGGACCCATTTTGATGTTTAATAACTCATAAAATAATGAAGATATAAACAAACTTATGGCATTTATTGATGGAATAACTTATATATTTTGCTTTTCAGATATGAATATCTTTACTTTTGTAAATATTGTCTGCGCGTGTGGTTAATTTCAGATAATTTCATTTTCCAGTTTAAATATCTGTACTTTTCTAAATATCGTCTGCTTATTAATTGCATTTTTCTCTCTTTTGTTTTTGGCAACTATTGCAATGTTATGTTAACTTTTGATGTGTTTGTTCTAGTACTGTTGTATGTGATGTTTTATTCGACCGGATATTAAGGAGAATGCATACACCACAAGAGAAAGCACAGATTTTATGGTGGTTCATAGAAAAGAAATGCATAATGCAAACACAGAGAAATTGCAGAAGAATTTACCAGAAAGATTCTCCATCCAAAAAGCAGCATCTTGCGGTGGAAAAAGAATTTTCTAGAAATTGGAAGTATCGCAGATAAGAAACGTTCCAGACGTCCCTGCACAAGTGATTTTGATGTTGAGAGTGTCAGAGAGACATTTTTACACTATTTTAGATCTGTGAGATCAGCGCAATAGAATTAGATATGCCAACTTTCGACGGTGTACAAGGTTATTAAGAAAAAAATTAAGTCTGCATGCAAAGTTCAAATTGTTCAAGTTTTGGAGCCCGATGATAGGCCTAGGAGGATGGCTTTTGCAACAGATATGCTAAGGAGGATAGAAGATGATGCTGAATTTCTGAAGCGCATAGATGACGATTATTGATAACACATAATCATGCATTATTCTGGTGGGCTATACACACATCAATAGAAATGATACATTTGAACACCTATACGTTGATAGAAATGATACACTGAGATTGATAACTGTGCATCATTGTGAAAGGCGACAATTAATAATTACACATAATCATGTATTATCTTACGTGACTATATATATTATTACAAATGAAACACTTACACACTTATACATTAATAGAAATGAACGAAATGTACGGAATGCAGTATCGTAGTGGAACACTTCGTCCAAGACTAGTCAATATTATTATACTCAGGAAGAACAAGATTCGAGAAAACCAGCAATCACAATGAAGTGAACTTTATTGCTATTGAGGTTGAGGGTAGATCAGCTGGTTACTTAGAGACTGCATGGAATTATACTTAAAAATAATTTTCTTTTAACGTGGCTTCATAATTGTAGTTCACATAAACTGTTGCCTTGATATGTATGCGTACTGTAAATTCTGAAGCTATATCGTGCACAGTTTTCTAAATATCATGGGCGCAAGTGTAAGAAACAGTGCTTTTAGGAAAGCTAATAAAAAATAGAAATTCACTTTTGAAATAATGATTTCAATTCAGTAACTATAAAATCGCTTTCTATATGATACTTTAACACATAAAAGTAAAATCTTATGATGTTTAATGCGTTGAATGTAAAATAATTTGTAATTTTTTTTTTTTTTTTTTTTTTTTTTTTTTTTTTTTTTTTTTAAGCAGGAGGCGTGAAAAATGAGCAATGCCTACGCCGGAACTCGAACTTAGACCTATAGAATACGCGCCGAGTGTGTTACCGTCACACCACGAAGGGATGCGGGAAAGAGAAAGGAAAAAAAAACTTATATGCTCCTTGTTTTTGTAGTGCGATTCCTTATTTTGTGGTGAACTTAGAGCAACCAAAAGAGGATCATATGGTTTATTTTTAGACCACGTAGATTGGATAGTATTTCTCTCGGTTTACCTTATATACTCACCCTCTTAAAGGACAACTGGGAGGTTAGGAGACTCACTCGCCAAATCCCGGTAGTACCGGATTTTGCTCACCAAGTTTTAGTTCGGGTGCCATTGTACGGTTTTTTTTTTTTTTTTTGTTTTGTTTTGAAGTAGGAGACGTGGAAAATGAGCAATGCTCTCGCCAGGACTCTAGCCTGGACCTCTCGAACACACGCCAATTGTGCTACCGTTACACCCCGAAGGCATGCTGGAAAGAGAGAGAAAGTATCTTATAAAATAATACAACATATACTAATAAAGAACAAAAATTATCAAATGTTTGTCATAAGACATACTATAACACTCATCGTTACATAAGACGTATCTTACTCGGTAATAACAGAAATCACCATTTTGTAAAACTTAGCTATTGTAATGCTTGTAGGAATGTTATAAAATAAATTACTAAATTTTGTTCGTGCAATAAGATTAATATAAATTTATATGAAAAATATCGTAGATATATAATAAGTAGAATATTAAAATTAAATTCAAAACGTCTAAGCTAACTTCTAAACAAAACCTTCTTTTATGCTTCTTAAATCACATTACGTAGCGGCTTCTGAATAATGCTGCCGTACCTGCAAATCCAAATTTTGCATGATTTGTTCCTTCCCTTCTACCATTACATGTTACTACTGTTTCGTTTGTAGCCATATCAGCGATTATTTTGCTCAAGTTGCGTGTTTTGGAAGAACACTTTCTCACACTTGAATTAAAGAATTTTTTTGGAGACGTTTAAGTGTATTGGGTTCTAACAGGTCTTTAAAAAATTTTTAAATTAGGGAAAATAAACTACAGCCAAAGATTAAAAGAAATAATAATAAAAAATATGAAAGTTTTCAGATTTTATATTACGCCCAAAGGGGCTTTTTTTACGTTTTCTGTATTATCTTTATTTATTAAATATTATTTTCTTCACACTTAAACCATAAAATGCTATTCAACAGCAATAGAAGAAAATAATTTTAAAAGAGCTTATCTTCAGAATTTCCGATACACAATCTCGGGCACTGGAGACAAAAGTGTTTTTTCCGTAAAGTGTTGCCATTGCTCGCTTTGAAATTGTTGAGTTTCTTAATCAAAAACTCATAAATGCTTTTCGAAATATGAAACAGGTAGTAAAACAAATTCCAAATTTTAGCTTCCAGGGGCCCATATTCGGGTGCAGACGTACATTATTCAAAATCTGATGGCAGTAGGTACCGTTGTTTCATCACAATGCGAGAAACATACATAAATTTTGCAGATTCTTCATTATTTAATTTCTTTAAATACAATGCTGGGTGTGTAAAAAATTTTATGTGGAAATTTTAATCACCAAAGAGGGCGTAAATCTTTCATGATATATACTTCTTGTACTTGGATCTGGCAGTGCTAGTTGAATACGTGTTAGACTTGAATAAACTTGGAAGTTTGAAATCTGATTCGAATGTTTTTTTTTAACTTTGTGATGTTATATGTGATGATTTGAATTAATGTTTCTTGAACCAGGATAACATGAAATCTTAATGGTTCTATTATATAATTTTACTTTTTTGGCGTCCAACAGTTGCGCACGAACAGTTTTTTGATTTAAGAATGCAGGGATTTTTCGTGTTATTGAAAAATTATCCCTTTGCACTGAACATGGGAGGATAAACGTTCAGAATACTTGTGAATGCTTATCTCTTGGAAAGTGAATTTATAAATTAGGATCAAATCACTGAAGCCTACACGAGGTAAGGGAATAAAATTATTTTGGGGGGGGGGGGGGGGGGGGGGGGGGGGGGGGGGGGGGGGGGGGGGGGGGGGTTATGGCAGACAATACTGTTAAATTGAAAGCTGGTAGAAAAACTGTGAGACAAGCTATTTCTAAAATAATAAATGTTTTAGAACCTGAAATTAAAAAAGACATTTGGGACAAGAATATGGTAGAAGAAGAAGTGTTTTTACTTACTTCTAAACAGTCTGCGGTGAAAGAAATTAATGAAAAAATACTGGATTGTTTTAAAGGGGATGAATCTGAAATTGAACAAGAAAGTAATACTGTGTTAGAGTATGATGAAAAAATCAGTTTATGTATTTTTAGGGCTAAAAAGAAACTTAATTTAAATTCTCAGATAGTGAACATTGAAAACGAATCGCCTGGTAACCATACTGCTGCCGTAAAGGTCGAAAGCAAAACTAACATTTGGTTACCTAAAATTTCAAT